CATCCTCATGACATTTCAATTAATTTTATAACTTTGACATGAATAGAGGAGAAGAGAATAGTAACATCAGAATTTCAAAGAAGAGAGAATCCATTCGGAAGCAAATTGCTAATTTATTAACAACAATAACTATATTTATTTACAAAACCTTCAATTATCTACGTGTTTCAATGAATATTTCTCAATTTACGAGAGGTAATGGAATTTTTCTGAGAACCTACGCACGAAAATTTAATAGAAAAATCTAGTGAATGCACTAGACAATTCTATTAGATTTCTATTCCACTTTTTATTCATTCTTGGCCGATTCTATTGAAATGTTCAATAACAAATATTATATAGAAAATGTCATCAGAATTCGATTGTCCTATACAACTTATTTTATTGAGATATTTTCTACAGAATTTCCTGAGTTCAAATTTCCTATTTTTTTGGTCAAATTTTTTTGATGACAGTAAAAAAAATAGAATGAAAAAAAACTTCGAATATTTCAATAGAATCGGTCGAAAATTAATAGCAAATTCAATAGAAATCCAATACCCCGAGTAGAAATTTCGTCGGCAGCCCCCAACGTGCATTGGGAACCTTGAGTTTGTTGCGGGTTACTGACTCGTAGGTTGTACCTGGCGTATAACCCGTAGGTTCCAAACGCAACAATACTCGTAGGGACGATTATTGTCGGTTACAGATGAGTTCACCACCGATCACTAACTCACGTATCTCAATCCGTTTGTAACTATTTGTCCCTTGTAAAGTGTTAACGGCATTCAATTATCCAAGTCCAGCCGGGCATAACTGGTCGAGAACTCATCAGTACACTGAAATGAAGATCAAAAATAAGGATCAGAAATAAACGTCAGAAATAAGGGTCACAAGAGTCAGGAATAAGGATCAGGAATTAGTGTCGAAAATAAGGGTCATGAGGGTCATAAATGGGAATAAACAATAGACGTCAGAAATAAGGGTCACAAGAGTCAGGAATAAGGATCAGGAATTAGTGTCGAAAATAAGGGTCATGAGGGTCATAAATGGGAATAAACAATAGACGTCAGAAATAAGGGTCACAAGAGTCAGGAATAAGGATCAGGAATTAGTGTCGAAAATAAGGGTCATGAGGGTCATAAATGGGAATAAACAATAGACGTCAGAAATAAGGGTCACAAGAGTCAGGAATAAGGATCAGGAATTAGTGTCGAAAATAAGGGTCATGAGGGTCATAAATGGGAATAAACAATAGACGTCAGAAATAAGGGTCACGCTGGTCAGAAATGAGAGCCAAAAATACACCTCAGAAATAAGGGCCACGAGGGTCAGAATGGAAAGTCAAAATTGAGGGTCTCAAGGGTCAGGAATAAGGTTCATTAATAAGGGCCAGCAATAATGGTCAGAAATAAAGGTAAAAATAAGGGTCAGAATTAAGGTTTAGGCATAATAATCATAAGTCAATCGTCAGAGAATACGAATCCTCGCCTTATCTGGCATATCGGAATGTTATATTCCCAAGAATTACAGGATAGTGGACTTGGACTTTAGCACAGCAGACGATCATCAAAGTTAAGTAACATTGAGTACGGTTCGGAATTGGATGGGTGACCACTCACCGAAAATGTGATTTTTTTTTTCTTTTTCTACGTATATAAATCCATTCTTATCATTGGGCATGCTTTTCCAAGGCAATTAATGAGTTATTCATCATTGACAAATTGTTAATAATAATTAGATGAATAAATAATCATGCGGGTTTTTGATGGGTTACAATCTACGTGTAACTTTACGAGGTAACTGCGTGACGTTTCCGTGAGTTCCTCGTAGGTTGAAACCTATGTGGAACCGGTGACCATGCCGGTTGCAACTGATAGGTAACTGATGATAAAGCGACGAAATTTCTACTCGGGATAATTCCGGCATTTTTTATCGTGCACAAGTTTCACTGAAATTTCAGGAAATCGTGCCATTGAAAAATGAAATATTCCATTGATTTTCTGTTCAAATGATCTGGAAATCAATAAAATACTTGATGTTTTAGGTCAATTATTCTGTGAAAATTCAGAAAGATCAGGAAATTTCTGGGAAAAATGAAAAAATTCGTGGCATTTTATTTCTAAACATTCATGTTCCATTGAAAAATCAATTAAGTTATGAAATTTCCATCTCACTGTCACTGAAAACTCATGAATTTCCATGAATTCTACCCAAAACTTGAAATTTCATAAGTACTTTTTCCCTAAATTCGATTCAATGTCACTCATGAGATTGACTATAATATTTTCCATGATATTTCCAAAAATTTCTAACAGTGTATTGTGGGAAGGTTCAATTCACTAATAAATGCGATTCAGTGAACTAATCACGTTATATTTGAAAGACGTTAGAAATACATACAAAAGCAAAGATCGATATGGTTCAGATTGAAAAAATTATTGAAATAAATCATTTGTACAACATCAAATGGCACTCACTTTTCGACTAATTTTTAAAAATCATTGATAATGTACAAAAAATATAAAAGCTTGCGATATCACGCCCTCTACGATCCAGAAATATATCCATGTAATTTTGTCGAATGTTACAGCATAAATCCTGAAAAAATAAAAAAAAAGAGAAGAAGTTAGGAATTTTCATTAAAATGACACTCGAACTTGACAACGTTGAGAGAGAAGGTTAGGGAGGGGCGTCGCCTTACCACGCAATTTAAATGTTCAAAGCTATTCTCTGCTAACTCTCAGACGATACTATTTCATTTTTTTTGCCACTTTTATTTACAGAAAAAGTAAAACAGTCCATAAAATCTTAGAAAACAAAAATTAAATCAATAAACTAATTGACTTTTTTTACTAAACAAACAAAAAAGAATTATGCATCATGAATTATTATCCTATTTGTCCAACTTTTAAACAAAACGAATTATGCATTATGAATTATTGTTATTTGTCCAACTTTTTGAATCACCCGTGTGGAAATCTTTCCGGTCAATCCCCGCTTGCTATACAGTCAAGTTGGGGCTCAGCGATCGGTTCGAGCGCGTATCTCCGGTAGTTTCATCTTTCTTAGAAGAACTATGCAAATCATCAAATGCAATATTTTCTATTTCATTGGCAAAAAATTTCGTGAATTTTCCATGTTTCAATATCCTTATTTTTACGATAAATTCAATTGATTATGTTTCTCACTCAGATTTCAGCAAATCAAAGCGCAGTATTTGAGGATGTCAAACAGTTTCATTTCGGAAATTTCTAATAAATTTCCGACGGAAATTCACTAGTAGCTATTCAAATGTTTCTCATCTTTCAACGCATTTCACGTTTAATATTCTGTGTGACAGATAAACAAAAAAGTGGGTTGTAAATGTATGGCTGTGTAAATGTATCCGGATGCTGTTCAATGCACTCTGCTTGACCGAAATCTGAGTGGAAAAATAATCCGTCAAATACCACTCGTGCTTCCAAATTAATCGGNCATTCTTATCATTGGGCATGCTTTTCCAAGGCAATTAATGAGTTATTCATCATTGACAAATTGTTAATAATAATTAGATGAATAAATAATCATGCGGGTTTTTGATGGGTTACAATCTACGTGTAACTTTACGAGGTAACTGCGTGACGTTTCCGTGAGTTCCTCGTAGGTTGAAACCTATGTGGAACCGGTGACCATGCCGGTTGCAACTGATAGGTAACTGATGATAAAGCGACGAAATTTCTACTCGGGATAATTCCGGCATTTTTTATCGTGCACAAGTTTCACTGAAATTTCAGGAAANGATATTTTCCTCAAGCTTCCCTGCCTAGGACCGAGTGTGTCAAATTTTGCAGGTTTAAAATCCCGATTGCGAAGCACGAGTTCCTAGGTAACGAAGCTATCGGAAAATATCCGATAATTTTGAAGCACTAGTGGTATTACTACTGACAATTTCCATGGATTTTTCCATGAAAATCCTAAATTTTCAGAGACAAAAATTCTCTGAAATTTCAGTGAAACTGTCGCTTGATATTTCAAGACTAAAATCCGAAAAATTCACTGAAAAATTTTCAACAGTGTATTGAAAGGGTGAAAAACTAAATTTTTCATATTTTCAAACGGAAAAAAAATGTTTGCACCCCAAATACTCCGATCAACCAAAAGTTTGTTATCGGAAATTATCTCACGATACTGCCTTTACTCCTTTGAACAGTCGGCAAACCTCTGGGGATGTCTCCGGAAATGAGAATAAAATATCCCGGATTCCGGAATATAATATACCGGATTCCGGAATATTATATACCCGATTCGAGAATTTTTTTCTTTCCATGCTGGGTAACGCTAAATCCTAACAGACTTCGATGCCTGATGCCCGCTTACGCTATGTTCTTTCTAAGCATAAAGAAAGGATTGTTCATAAAAAACATAAATTTTGTGACTTCCATTTCTTTACACATAATAAATAAAATAATTTCCATTAGAAGGATGGTGGAGGAGTTAGTACAACTTACGCTGATAACCCGTATCATCATAAAGACATACCCTCTGGGGATAGCCATATCCATAAATTATAATTTCCGTTAAATTCTTAAGTAGTCAATTAGTTAATATCACTCTTGAATTTTAATTATTGAAATAATCATCAACTTAAATATTCCAATTGCGAATTGTGTATTAATCAGTAATTATGTTAGGAAGATTGACGATTAGTTGGATAATCGGGAATCTCTTATAAAATATTGAGTATTAGTTACCTAATAAAAAATTTACAGATCAATATTATTAAATATTTATTTCACCAATCAATTGGAAATGTAGATTATCAATCATTTTAGTATTTTTAAATTTCGATTAACACATTTAAATGTTGATCAATGTTAACAGGAAATTCTTTCAATATTGAAGAATCGGAAGATTGATGGCCACCCCTGTTTGCAATAAAAATTGCAAAATAAAAAAATCGGTCAAATGCAAGGCTTCCATCGGGAAGCAAAAACATCGAAGGTTGACCGCAATTCATTTTTATTTATTTATTCTTGCAGCCGGCGAGCTACGGTAAAAAGAGCAATACATGGTACACACCACCAGGAGGTACCGGTGGAGCAGCGAGTAGAACTGGCGGTGTGGGTAACTGGCAGAGTAGACCATCAGCGGTAGCGAGTCTGAGCAGGAAGGCTTCAATCACTGACGAGGCACCCCCACCAGGCGGTGGTAAGCCCTCCTCCGGTCGGGTCATCAGGATCGTCAACAACCTAGATCATACTGTCCAGGTTGGTGTCCCTATCCCCTCTACCCACTTTAATTCACCATAATCGATCAATTTTATCGATCCCTCGACCATTTTANATACCCGATTCGAGAATTTTTTTCTTTCCATGCTGGGTAACGCTAAATCCTAACAGACTTCGATGCCTGATGCCCGCTTACGCTATGTTCTTTCTAAGCATAAAGAAAGGATTGTTCATAAAAAACATAAATTTTGTGACTTCCATTTCTTTACACATAATAAATAAAATAATTTCCATTAGAAGGATGGTGGAGGAGTTAGTACAACTTACGCTGATAACCCGTATCATCATAAAGACATACCCTCTGGGGATAGCCATATCCATAAATTATAATTTCCGTTAAATTCTTAAGTAGTCAATTAGTTAATATCACTCTTGAATTTTAATTATTGAAATAATCATCAACTTAAATATTCCAATTGCGAATTGTGTATTAATCAGTAATTATGTTAGGAAGATTGACGATTAGTTGGATAATCGGGAATCTCTTATAAAATATTGAGTATTAGTTACCTAATAAAAAATTTACAGATCAATATTATTAAATATTTATTTCACCAATCAATTGGAAATGTAGATTATCAATCATTTTAGTATTTTTAAATTTCGATTAACACATTTAAATGTTGATCAATGTTAACAGGAAATTCTTTCAATATTGAAGAATCGGAAGATTGATGGCCACCCCTGTTTGCAATAAAAATTGCAAAATAAAAAAATCGGTCAAATGCAAGGCTTCCATCGGGAAGCAAAAACATCGAAGGTTGACCGCAATTCATTTTTATTTATTTATTCTTGCAGCCGGCGAGCTACGGTAAAAAGAGCAATACATGGTACACACCACCAGGAGGTACCGGTGGAGCAGCGAGTAGAACTGGCGGTGTGGGTAACTGGCAGAGTAGACCATCAGCGGTAGCGAGTCTGAGCAGGAAGGCTTCAATCACTGACGAGGCACCCCCACCAGGCGGTGGTAAGCCCTCCTCCGGTCGGGTCATCAGGATCGTCAACAACCTAGATCATACTGTCCAGGTTGGTGTCCCTATCCCCTCTACCCACTTTAATTCACCATAATCGATCAATTTTATCGATCCCTCGACCATTTTACTAATAATTTTCGCAGTGCCGTGTACTCCTCAATCTGCGCACATCGCAGCCGTTCGAGGAAGTACTGGAGGACCTCGGTCAGGTGTTGAAGATGAACGGGGCCAAGAGAATGTTCACAGTATCGGGGCAGGAGGTCAGTTAGTTTATTCTCTTAGGATCGTATGTGTAGCCCCTCCCCTATCCTTCTCCTCCCGCGCACACTTCTGTTACTCAACTGCTTACGTATCAGTGCCACGTCGCAGTGGAGGAAGTCCGCGAGTAGTCGGAAAACACTCCCAATGCGTCACTGTCAATAACCGGGACGACTGGAGTCGAACGGGCTAATCTGTTTTCGGATTTGGTAATGGAGTTGCGGAATGTTCGGAGATAAGTCAATCAGACTCGGATTTTAGTTCTGCTGAATATGCCGGAAATGCGGGAATCCCTTCGAAACAACCCGGGGACGAAAAGTCAAACGAACCAAGATTGGGCTAGTACTGGCAGTCGAGCTGCCGAGTCTTGGGTGTCGATTCTTAATCGGCCTTGGCCCAGCCTCGGCTAGCTATTGGTTTGATAACGTTGGGTCTGTATTGGTTGCTTTTGAGATATTGACCAATATAGCTTTATACAAAAAGTTGAATATCTCTGGAACTACTGGACCGATATCGCTCAGCCAAAATACCAACCTTTGGTATTATGGGAGCTACAATGATACCAAATTTCAACCTTCTATCTCAATTTCTTGTCGAGTTATCGCGCGTACAAAGAATTTAGGGAAAAAATGGAAAATACGGCAATATCTCGAAAACTTTGTATGAACGGGTATATATATTTTGATTGATCTACATAGAAGACATCGAGACAAGTATTTTGAAAAAAAAAAATGAAATCGGAATAATAGTTTTTGAGATATTGAGCAAGAGTTTTACATAAAAAGTTGAATATCTCCGAAACTACTGGTCCGATTTTATTTATCCAGATTCCCAAACTTTGTTACCATATGACCTAAAATCGTACCAAGTTTCAAGTTTCTATCTCGATTATTTTTCAAGTTATCGTGCGAACAAGAAATTTCTGCAAAAAAAAAGGAAAACAAGAATAAAACTACATCGCTCAGGGTGTAATGGTCTTTTTCAATCCAACTAAATAGCTATCATCATGACAAGTATTTTGAAAAAAAAATCGAATCGGTCGAATGGTTCAGGAGATATCGCAAAGAATTATTTTCAAAGAGTCGCTACCCGGGTAGAAATCACGCCGCTCGAGCTCGGCTCGGAACCCGTATCCCAGCTAGAAATACGCCACTCCGCCCCAGCTTGGGATAAACTCCACGCGCGTCACATGTACCCGAGGTTGAGCCGCGTCACGCGCTCACAGCCCAGCGTTAGACTATTACGCGAAACGCTTCGCCGGGCTTTAGTTGAATGGCCACTGCTCAACCTCAGGGGGCCTATTCTCGAAATATTTCCGTGTACGGAAGTGGCTTCCTAGACGAATTGCGTATAGGAATCATATAGGCGTTCCGTCAACGAAGTCGATTCCGCGCACGGAAATATTTCGAGAATAGGCCCCCAGGTTCATCTCCAATTACTCAATCCCAGTATACTTAACCTCAATAATGATTTGACAGGTCCGATGGCATCGTGATTTGAGCGAAAAAACAATCGAATAAATGTGAAGATGGCATGCTTTTTCAGATGAACAATCACAAGCTCATCAGAAATAACGTGATATTAACTAATCGAATGGGATTAATCTGAAAATACAAGGTAGAACAATTCACTGAAACGTAGTCAAAACTTTCTTTTTTCTCGCGAATACAACAAACAAAATCAAGAAAAATAATCACTTGAAAAACGTTAACGAACCTTTATTATTAATTATCAACGCTACAGGAGAGGATATTCTTCATTTTTCGATAGGCCTACGAGTTCTAAGAATATTCTACGATTTATTAGGGAAATGTTGAATACAGGTATGCCAAAATAACACGCATGAAAAAATTCAACAGAAAAACCTAGCGCTTTCTATTAAATTTCTATTGGAATTCTATGAGAATTCTCTGGAAGTTCTATTAGAATTCTATTCGTTTCTTGCGCCGATTCTATAGGAGATTATGCAACTTCATAGAGTCTTTTTGTTAAGGTAAAATTTGGTGCAAGAAAGTAAATAGGTTTTTATGTTCCTATAGATTTTCTGAGGCGTAAGATTTCTAAGTTTTTTTCCGCTCGGTTTTTCTTGATTTTCCAAAGTATTCAAATTTTAAATCGATTTTCTAAAAATGCATAAATATCATTCTATTCCACCCTCCACTCGAAACGACACGACTCAATCGCAGCTGAGTTCTAAGCGTTGAGCCACAGCTCAAACTCAAGTGCCGGGTTATGCCGTCTGATGAGCGTTCGACTGTGAGCCGGTATGGAGCGGCGTGTCGCGGCGTGAACTCGGGTCAAGCGGCAAGCCGAGGCTGAACTCGCGCTCACCCGAGTTGCGGCTGAATCCCCGGTTGAATTTCTACCCGGGTATATCTCAGAAACTGCTCAACCGATTGAGCTGAAATTTAGCAGCAATTTTAGTCTCAGTAGTACCAATTAGCAGCCAGAATTTCAGCATCTTTGTCTCAACTATTCTCGAGTTATGGGTACACGGAGAGAAATATTCAAGAAAAATTACGGAACATTTCACGTAATCCGCAAGCGAGAATCGTTTTCAGTGAATTTCTATAGGAATATAAGAGAATAAATCTGAAACGTTCAGTAAATTTTTGGGTCTGTCACCGAAAAAATACGAAAAANAAAAGTTCCGGAAAAATTACGGAACGTGTTGTTAAAATCTCCCCCTCACGGGGGGTAGCCGTGAGGCGTCGGACGGATGAGTAATTTTTACGGAACAGATCGTAGAATTTACGTGACGATTGACCACTTTTTATTGAATTTTACTTCGCTCCCAGATTATGTTTCGAAACGTAATTTTTACGTCTTTTTTCTGGTAATTTTTATTGAATATTTCTCTCCGTGTACAGTTTTGGACATACGAACACACATGTGTCCACAACTCCACACATACCTACACACATACAGACATTTTTTAAAAATATCATTTCTTCACGTTTCATGACATTTCTAGGCATTTTCACCCAAAATCAATAAATCGAAAAAAATCACGATTACAAAGCTTGCTCGGAAGCAAAAAGGACTACATGCATATATACACACATACAGTCGAGCACTAAACTCCGTGAAAAGCCTGAATTTGCATTCTATGTATTCGGTTTACGAACTTCGGTGCTCGACTGTACATACATACAGACGACATCTAAAAATCGCACATTCGGATTTGGGACTATATTTAGTCACCCTAACATAACAAATTGGAAACTGAAAATTGAGCGATTATCAATCTTCCATTCGGAAGCAAAAATATTCTTCGTGCAAAAACTAAAAGAGTTGCAGACCTCTCGAGCATCGTTTTCATATATAAAATCAGTATGAATAATGTTTTTCATAAATATGCATGCGGCCCTCGACTTGGGTATGAATTTTACTCTAAAAGCGAGAGAGTGAGAGAGAAAAAATACAGAGCGGGTGAAGGGGGTAGATTGTTAGCAGAAAAGCAGAACCGGGGCGTGACAAACGGGGTCGCGACTACGAGATGGAATAAGGTCGTGGCCTGGCAAAAGGCGTACGAACTGCTCTTAATCCTACGCTCGCGAAAATGGTATAGATTTAACATCTATTATAAGTTGCAATGTTTAACGATAACATTTCGCACGAATGCATACCCGAGGGAATAATAATCTGTAAGGACATAATTGTGAGTGAATTGTGACATGAGGCGGGAGCAGTAAAGTTGCGGCTTGATATGATAAAGAGAAAAGGGTATGGTTCTAATTGTGGTAATTGTGGTTTATCAGGACGAATTACTGCAGTTTTGTGAATATGGAGAATTTTAGCATGATTTATCGCGGAAAAAAGCACCCAATAGAAAAATAATAGTGGGTAAGTCCCAGTAATTTTCGAATAATTTTTTTTCTCCCCGTTTTATTCATCGTAGGCGTTTAATGCTCGTTTGGTCCTCGAAACACGCAAATTCTACATCAACTTACGTTTCCTTATGTTCAGAGGATGTTTGTCGAAGACACGGGAATAGCGAAATGTGATTATTCCCACGTGTCGCCCACACAATTGGATCTTCGATGATTTTTTTTTCTCAAGGAGGAGTGGAAAGGAGGGACGGAAAGGAGGCCATTGGAAAAAGGTCAGAGATTCATCCCCCTTTTAGGTCACGACCGAATATGAATTACAAATTGGCCAATTTCCACGTGCACGAGCATTGGAAAGTACTCATTCGCTTTTCATGGCATCTGCGGGCTTCAGCTCATGCATATATATCCCTTTAAAATCAGGGGATGATGGATATCGATGATTAGTTTGAATTTCGATCACTAGAAAAAAACGGAATTTCGTGGAAAGTTTAGACGAAATTTCCAGCAGAGCCACATTGACTTCGATTTAGATAGGGGGAGGAGGTAATCATAAAATATAAAATTTCGTTGAAAATTCATATTTGTGGACAACAAGAAGAAGAAAATTTCCCAACTTATTTGAATTTTCAAACTAAGTATAGTGACGCCGCGAGAGACTTTACGAGACATCACGAGACAATACTTTGGAAGGATTATCTCGGTCTCAGTGAATGCGGAAATCTTTGACCTCGTCTGAGTCTCGAAATATGCAGTATCGACTTTTGTCGTGATGACCGCGAGTTAATTTATCTCACCTCGGTTTCCAGTTTTTCGCGTTTTTTATATGTAAAAAATCGAGACTAGAGGAAGCGCGACAAAAACCGAGATTTTACATTAAAAATACGAAAAACTTAAGACCGAGATGAGATACATTGACTCGGAGTCACCATGAGTGGAGTCGATACTGCGTATTTTGAGGCTGAGACGAGACCAAAGATTTCCATGTTCATTGAGACCGAGACCATCTCTCCAAAGTATTGTCTCCTACAGTCTCTCGCGGCTTCACTATCTAAGTATGAATATTCAGTATCAGATTCGACTGGATTTTCAATTGATCGAGGATGCAAGAATATATTGACCTGAATGTTGCTGATTTCTATTGATGTTTGTAAAGTAATTGAAGTAAAATTGACAGTTTCCATTGATTTTTCATTAAATTGTGAAATTTCACCTAGAAATTTTCAACTGTGATAAACATTTCGGGATGAGTGGAAATTATGAGGTTTGATAAGCCTTCATTAGTTGGATTTTTATGTCCTCTTCATGGGAATGAAAACGGTTATCTACACGGAATTAACGTAATAAGACCCGTTTTATTCTATTCGATTTCAATTGAAGTTGAGAATATACTCACAGAAAAGGGTATATTTAAAAAACCAAGTCAATTGAGCTTTAACGTTGATGATGAATGATTTGTCTATTCCAGCAATAGTATATTTATTTCTTAATAAACGATCGTACATTACTCAAATAATATATGATTGAAATTGATTAATTCTTACAATGAATGCTACTTAATTCATAACACAAATAATGTAACAACTACATGTAAACCAAAGATACGTGCCGTACGTTGCGAAATAAGAATTTTATGCAGTAAGCTTTTAATTTTCCTGAACCTAGTGTAGTTTCACACGATATTTCGTCTCAATGCATGCAAGTTAAAATAGTCATGATTAGAGCTATTATCTTCTTCTGATCATATTGAGGTTGGGTTAACACAGTCACTTAGCAGCTTGATCCATCTTTGCTCTTCGTCAGGTGAAGAAGCCTTGATTACATGGATGGGAAGGCCACCACATCCTGCTGATAGTTTCTGACTCAGCACCTCCTTATCCTCTTGCAAGAGATCGCAATTTGCCAAACCAGCCCACATAAGAGAGCATTTCGACAGTGGATTATTCGGTGGTTGGTGAACTGATGGTTGGATTGACAGTTTGTTTCCGGGAATCTGGGGTTGTTTCGATTCTGCAGTACTATCTCTTGATTCTGATTGTTTTCGTGGTTCACCTCCATCATTACTGTTATTATTTTGTGTAGATTCTGATCCGCTTCCATTATGACTAACATCATCTGATTCCGGAATATCACCATCTGGTGTAGATCCTGGTGGTTTTTCTGATCCTTCTCTATGTGGACTATGATTATTTTCTGGTATCCTTACTCCGTGGCTGTTATCAACATTTGATCTATCGTTTGATGAGTGTATTTCCCCTGATTGATCTTTGCCCGGACTATTATCATAGGTTGATGGACCTTCGTGAGAACTACCATTAGGTGGTGGGCCCTTCGTTACAGACTCTGATCCATTTTTGGTACCACTATCATTACCTGATGTCTGTGAATGTGATGTATGAACACCATCATCTGGTGTAGATACTGGTGGTTTTGCTGATTCATTTCCATCCGAACTACCGTTATATTCAGATATCCCTACTCCCTGCCTGTCATTAACACCTCGTGTAGGGTTTGCTTGTTTCTTCGGTCCTTCTCCATGTGGACTATCCTCAACTGGTGTAGATCCTGGTGATGCCTCTGGTCTATTCCCGTTGTGGCTATCGAGATCTGATGAATGAGTTTCAGTATTTGATTCAGATTCTGATGATGGCCCTAGTTCATTTTTGTCCATTCTATCATAATCGTCGTCGTCGTGATAATCGTCGTCGTCGTGATAATCGTCATCATCCATGTTTTCGTTAGATTTACCATTTTCTCGAGCTACTGATGCTGGTGATCCTGGTAGCATCCCTGATCCATTTCCGTTATGACTATTCTGACCTTCTGGTATTTCTTCGTTAGAGTTGCCATTTAGTCCAGCTTCTGGTACTGGTGATCTTGATGATTTTTCTGGTCCGTTTCCGTTATGACGAGTACCTGGTATAAATTTTGATTCGTTTCCGCTCGGAATATTACTAGGTACTTGTGATACTGATGGTAATGGCTGCAACGGATCAAGCGGGTGAATCTCTCTAGACCTGGATGCTTGACATTTCGGCAAGGTAATACAATTCCCTCCTGCCTTATCCAACAACTGACCCAACGCACACCTACAGCCAGGTTTGAAAATCTAAAATCAGGTCATTAGTCGGTTACGAATGATACGGATATTCAATTGAAATATAACTCTTCAGACTCTTACCGGCAGGCATGACTGATTACAAAGCGCTTTGAAATCTACTGAGTTGGCGCATGTCCACAAACTTTGAGAAGCTCCAATAGGGCACGGAGGTGCTCCTGTTACTCAGAAAAATTAGAAAAATTACTCATTATTCAATCCCCCACGTACACCATTGATACGATGTTTCGACCCGCCAACCTGCCTTATCAGCCAGGGTTCATGCATCGTATTGACCTTCAGAACGTAAACGTCTTCTATGACTAGCCGTAAGGACGGAAAGCCAAACTCCGTACTTAACGAGTTAACGATAATTAGTGATGGGCGATGTTTGTCGATTAATCGAAATTATCGTCCATTCATTTTTCATTTGATGTTTTCAACGCCCGATTAATCGATTTTCGATTCTGTTTTCGAAACATCAATGTTTTCGACCAAGCTAACAATTTTCTTCATTTTGTTATAGAATAATAATGGTGATTGATTGAGAATAAAAAAAATTATAATTCATCCGCAATTAGGAATAATTATTTTTTACAGTATCAAATATCAGCATCAATATTATAGATAGTAAGTGGACAAGTCCAATCGTCTATTGTTTTTTAGATTAATATATCGGTTTCAACCCTTATCAGTAACAATATATATCACAATCAACTTTTAGTGCAGCTTCAATTAATGAACAACCCTGTTCCGAGATTCAAAATTTAACTCTCCAGTAGTACTTATCATTGAAACGTAAGGTCCTCGGGTTATATTTTTTAAATATATATTTTTCAATAAAAGCAAGATGAAAAAAAATGATTAAAAAAAAATTTTTTTTCTGTGTAATGACAAAAAACATCATTTTTTTAAATAATCGATTTTTCTCCCAGAAAAATCGATTCACAACATCGATGTTTTTTTTTAAATATCGCCCATCCCTAACGACAACTACTTTATATGCAATTTCAATAGACTTCCGCACGGGGCACCAGATAGTTTCTGATAAATTCCATCACATTCCAAATTTCAATTGTATATAAAAATGAAATTCCGCGAATTTCAGAGAAATACAAGTTTTGATTGGAATTTCCTCATCTTTTATCAAGCGCAATTGAACAATGAATTTATAACAATATGTAACAGTTAACCATCAGCACTCACCATTAGCACAGTTGAGCCAAGTTAGTGAAAGTAGTATGCTGAAACGGAGCATGATGAACTCTTTTCACTCCAATCAACTGAATAATGACTGAAATATCGGCTACCTTTTTATACAATTCAAGATGGATTTATCGAAAAATGGAACGTGACTTTTGATGGAACTTGTCGTAGCATTACAATATCACCTGGTGCGTGTCATCTTTCGTAACGAAAATATTATCAAGGGTTAAAAACAATGCAGGTTTCAAACCGATAAACAAATTAATTCTGATAAATTTGTTGTCTCTAGGGGAATCCAGCACTGAAATTCAAGTAAAAGTCGAGGAACCATCTACTCAAGGCGCAAATCTTCCGTTTAAGCTCTAGTTGATCTCAACACGAAAAAAAACTAATTTCAATTTACGTTACGATCTCAAATTGAGACTTGTAGATGTCTCAAGGAAACATTTTCGAATATCTTAATTTGAGAGTTTCGAATGTCTCAAGTTAAGGATGTTCGACACCCTTTTAGCCAAAATTGACGTTGTTTTCATTTTTCTGGCAAATTATCGATGGGAGTGACGTGAAAAAATATAACGATTTTGTGGTTTGTCATTCTTTAATGGCTCACGAAGTTGCGTAGTGGTGCGATAATTTTCATGCGTTTTTTCTACAGTTTTGTGATTTTTTTTTGAAAGTTTAGAGAAAACGCAGGAAAATGTTCGCACCACCTTAAAATTTCGTCAGTCATTAAATAATGACAAAACGGAAAAACGTTATATTTTTTCACGTCAATTCCATCATAAGTTTGCCAGAAAAATTAAAAAAACGTGAATTTTGGCAGAAAGGGTGTAGAACATCCTTAAGACTTGAAAATCTCAATTTAAAGCCGCTGAAAGTTTCAAGTTGAGATTTGAAAGTCTTAAGTTAAGACTTTTAGAAAACGAAAAATTGAGATTTTCAAGTCTCAAATTGGAACTTTCGAAATTTGAATGAAGAATAATATTCATCGAGTCTCATATCGATCTCAGAACTTTGCGGGGAAAAATTGGGCCCATAATGGTAATCATTAAAAATCTTTGGATCTATGCTGCGAGCGGTAAAACTGAATTTTTATGGCTTAAACTTGTTAAGGATAATCGAGCGAGGAGGAAATGTAGGAGGTGAGGCGGAGGGGTTTCTATTGTTTTCCTGCAGAAAGCCAATTGCTGAACAAAAAAATTTTTCCCTTCGGATTTAAAATTCAGGCAATATTGAATAGGAGTTCTATTAAATGGGAGTATCTCTGGTTAAAAATTATTTTTGGAGCTAATCAAATTTATTTGTATCCCTTCCACGCATTGAATGGTTTTCAGATTGTTTTTTTTGTAATACCTGCCTCAAAAGTTCACTTTTCGAAGCCGTTTAGTGTGTGTAAAGTGGTTTTTTTACGCACAATGTGCGTAAAGTTCAGAGGTCGTGCGTAAAGTGAATTCTCGTGCGTAAAGCTTCGCTCGAAATTAACTCGAGATTTACTTTACGTACCTTGAACTTTACGCACACCGTGCACAAAATCAATCACTTTACCCCCATTACGGTGGCGAACGGTGAACTCGGCAGGTATTATTAGGTGTGTGAATATGACTCCGCCCTTTTTCAACAGATGTCGTTTTTAGTATTGCTTACGTGCACTAATAAATGGCAAAACTTGTATTCGATAATAATTTATGTTAGCTGTCAAACGCACTACGTGACATTTGGTTGAAATGTAAGCAACAAGTGTTTTTACTTCCGTGACAATCTCGGTTTTCATTCCAAGTAAACATCATTTGCGGGAAGTGTTATTACACTATTATACTGCAAAGAAAAGTGTAGTGAAAACTCATCGTTTGCTTGTGGAGATTTACGGTGAGCATGCTCCATCTAATACAACTTGCAAGGAATGATTTCGACAATTTCAAAATCATGATTTTGGCACTGAGGACAGAGAACATGGAAAACCACAAAAAAATTTGAAGATGCTGAATACTATTTTCGCTATTATTAATAAACAATGCTTCTAGGCGACAATCTTTTTCACTCAAAAATTATTGATCACATGTTCTAAATGTGTCTAAAGTTTCATGACTCTGGCTGCATTTTTTCCTTGGGTTTTGCAGTTTTTTTTTTTGTGATTTCCATAAGATCACGTGTTAAATGACCACTTTTTCAAAAATTCATAATAAATTAACCATGCTTCCTAGCTGAAATTGAATTTAAACTAATTCGAGTCACCTCAACTACACTGAGAGAAAAATTTCCTAATATGTAGACCATATTTACTTCAGAGTAGTAAATTATTTTCAATGGCTTAAACATTAGACGGTTTTGGCTTCACGGTTTTTAGAATTTTCCACGCCGAAATTCCTTGAAATTTCAGTGGTAATTAAATTTCATAAAAATTTCCAAAAAGTATACCAGAAATTTAGCTGAAAATTTTTAACAGTGTACATATTTTCTCTCCAAATTTTAAGTTGATATCTCGATTTTTACACAAGTTAGCGTGATTACAAAGTTTTTTTAAATCAAAAAACAAGAACGGGCATAGCTCGAAAACTTTGCATGAGCGGGTACATATATTCTGATTGATTTATATAGAAGGCATCGGAACGAATATTTTGAAAATGAAAAAATCCAAATGGGTCCACTAGCTTTGAAGATATTTGCGTAAAACGATTTAGAAAAGAAACGCTTTTTCTAAAAAACTATTAGATCGATTGGGCTGAAATTTTGCACCGGGTTAGGGCACATTAAGACCTAGTCTGATAAAATTTCAGATTTTTTGGATTTACTTTAGCCACTTAGTTACTCAATGTTCTAAAAATTGACCACCGGGAAGGTGGGGGTGAACATGCTCACATACAGAGATGCTCGCTCAACTTCGTATTTTTACGTATCAGACCAGTTTACATCGTTTCCAATCAAAATTAGAGAATGTGAAAATTGGACGATTGAAACAAATTGTAAAACATCCTCCACAAACAGGTATTCTTTCATTGAATTACATTTCGCTCCAGGATTACCTTTCGTACAGTAAAATTTGCCACGATTTTCTAGGTAATTTTTATCCAGCTTTTCGCATACGAAAAAACTTAATAGAAAAACCTACCGAATTCATCAGACAATTCTATTGGATGTCTATTGAACTTCCTATTAGTCGTTGATCGTAACTACTGAAAAGTTCAAAAGAAAATGGTCTATAGAAAAAGTTGATTGAGTTCCATTTTTCTATAGAACTTATTCCATTGAGATATTTTCTATAGAATTTCCTCGGCTCAAGTTTTGTTGTTTACTTTTCTTGATGAAAATAAAATAAAAATAGAATGAAAAAAAAACGTGAAAAATTTGAGCTGATGAATTTTCATAGAAAATATCTGAATAGAATAAGGTGCATAAAAAAATCGAATCCTATTGACCGGACTTAGTATTCTTAGAAAAAAAAAAAATTCATTAATTCAAATAGAATTGAAATTCAGAGAGAAAAAAATTCCGATCCGCCCAGCCGAGAATCGAACCCGGGTCTCCAAGTTACGCGCCGGGCACTCTTCCAACTAAGCTACCGGGACCACGCGACTTTCCTCACTCCAAATTCAACTCAGCACGCCGCCTACCTTCTTTAGGCAAATAATCAATTCATTAATTTAAATAGAATTGAACATTTTAATAGAAACGTCTAAAAACTAATAGAAATTTCAATAGAATTGTCTAGCGAATTCGCCAAGTTTTTCTATTAAATTTTTTCTTGCGTGAAAGAGCAAATGAATAATTTCTTTATTGTGGAAATGAAGTTATCCATTTGCATTAAAAATTATAAATTTTATTATCCAAGCGTTATCGAAAGATGCGTGACTGATAGATGAATGATGATATTATATTCAATTTGTTGTAATATTGCTTCCCGGATGATTTAATCTCAGAACAATGATTTCATGTCCGTGGAATGTCACGTCTCACCATGATATCAATTTATCTTCATTGTTATGTATTTTTGGAATATTGTATTTATCACGAAGGTTTATATTTTGCTTATCCATGCAACAAATTTACATGCTTAATTCATCAGACCAAAATGTTTAAAAATATTTTCTTTTTCAAAATTTACTCATGAGTGTGGATGTTGAATCACATGAATGTGATTCAATTTAGAAATGTTATGATTAACAATCTCCGAATCTGTGGTGTGAACTTTTCGCAACTGTAGAAGTTACTTCAATATCTCCAGATCAGTTCATCAAGATTTCAGATTACAAGAGATGTCAAAGATCTGAAAAAGTAATAGTTGATAATTTCTCTTCCATCGGAATAAATTTATTTATTTAAGTGGAAAATTTTAAATTTTATTATTCCGGCGTTATCGGTATCCGTGACTAATCATATATTTATCAGACATGATGATATAAAATTCGTAATGAAAGTTATTTCTGCGAAATTTCACGTTTCAGTTGGAAATCAATTTGTTTTCTTTGTGATATGTCATTGAATCAGTGAAACGCTGTATTTACCACGGAACATTATAATTGATTTATGCTTTTTGAAAGAGAGATTGTAACGTTTTTCGTCATCGTTTTTTTCGGCATAGATTAGCTATCACAAACTTATATGAACAAATATATGTAAATTGAAGTATATTCTATATACTCACATATATGAGCGAATCTGCAAATTCTATATATGCAAATCTACCTCCACAGTTTTGAAATTTTTTCTATTCTAACCTAAAGATATAGTCGAAAACAAGAAGAATGAGAGCAATCGGAGCCGTCTGATTCAATTATTGGCGGAGATATTGAAAATTGATTTTTTTTCTTTTGAAAATATTTTTCTCAACTCCAATTACGATCTACTACACTGTGCGTCCACGGTCGGTCCGGTCCCGATCAAGTCCAGGTCAGGTCAGACCAGAACGCGGATCCGGATTTGATCAGGGCGAATTTAGCTGAACATGACCAAGCCAATCACATACGAACCGGATGACCTGTCCACCGGTATCAATAATCACTATTCACAATGTTTAATTCAAAATAAAAGGTAATATACTTTTTTCGCTGCCAATTGCCCCTCTTAATGGATTCCTAATACAATTACCGCTGATAAAACGTTAATTTTGCCGACGCCAGGGATCGAACGGGGACCATGCGATTACTAATCCTATATCCTAACCTCTAGATTCTTGCGCTACTACTGTTAAGGGGACAAATTGAATCCACTATTTTTTAAAGAAGAATTCCTGAATTTTTTCATGACGAATATTGCCGTGAAATGAATGCATAAGTGACAAAGATTTTCTGTTCCGTTGTTTTTTTATTAAATCGCTCATCTCTGTATTGGTGATAGGTGCGGAGTTTCTCACAATTGAGGAACGACTTTGCGGATGTAGACACATTTTATTTGGGTACCGGATCATCCATGGGGATTGGGAGTACGACAATGAATGTCACATCGCCGGCTAGGAGATCTAGATCGAGGGGGCCATCGACAGTATCACTGACTGGAGCTGGGGAGGATATTGGGAGGCAGAGGAGAGCACGCAGCAAGAGTAGACCACGAGCTCTTTATGCACCGGATTCTGAGGTCGTTCGAGTTAATGGTAAGATGGTCCATTACTTTAATTCACAGAACAAAGTGTTTTTAGTTTCCAGGACGAAGTTACTGATTTCGAGAAACTCATGGTTCTAGCATGCAACACAAAGAAAGCAATGTTTCGATTTTCAGGGATATAACTAATTTTTAGGAGTTGATCCCCAATTTTTAGAATGAATGATAAATTTTGCAGTTTCGGCATAAATTACCTTCACGTTTAGTAAATTTTTCCAACTCAGCAAAGACAAATTCATTATTCGTTTCGTACCTTTTAGCCCGATATAATGTGAAAAAGACCAACAAATGGATTTCACTCCACGATTACTTGACATGTTTGGTAATTCTTGTCCAAATTTTTTCTCCGTGTGATCATCCTTTTTGGAACTAATTAAACAGTTATTGGTCATTGACTTGTATTTCTAACGCGGAGTTTCAAACGACGAATCAATGCACGTTCAGTCAGTAGTCGACGAATCAATGCACATTGAATCAATAGTCAGAAGGTCAGAAAATTAGTCAATGACAATTAAATGAGCTGACCACGTGGAATAGGGGTGCGCCCGATACTCAAACGAGACTTGACTTTGGAGGTTGTCGCTCTAAACTCACATGGAAATTTTTGGGACTTCCTCAGTCTCGAAAGGCATAGTATTGACTCAACTTTTCACGACACCAAGAAAATTTATCTCGTCTCGTGCTCTCCTTTTTCCTATTTTTAACGTATACGAGACCGAGACTGAAACCGAGACCAAACATAAAAAACCGGGAAAAGTGAAGATTGTGACGAGACAAATTATCTCGGGGTAATGACCATAGGAGACGATAGTATGCTTTTTGAGACTGAGGTAGTCTCCAAAATTTCCATGTTTTTCTAGAGCGAGACGGTCTCTTCAAAGTTAAGTCTCATCTGGATCTCATGCGCAGCCCTAACGTGGAAAAATTAGCCTCATTTTGCATCTCTAGTTTCACTTCGAAATTGACTTGATGCATCTTAGTCACACGAAGTTTCAATCCCAACAATCGACAACATGTTTTCTTAAAGATTACAGTGTAGTTGAAGTACTACGCGATGAGCCTGCCAAAGTAACAATTCGCGGCCTCAGACGTTCCTTCTATCCCCCTTCACACCTTCCCCTAGTGGACAATTCCCCACCCGACAAGAAGCTCCAACTTGAATGGGTCTATGGATATCGAGGAACCGACACGAGACGAAATCTCTGGGTTCTCCCCAGCGGAGAACTTCTGTATTACGTAGCTGCAGTGGCTGTCCTCTTCGATCGAGAGGAGAATTCGCAGCGTCACTACATCGGGCACACTGAGGACATCACCTGTATGGAAGTTCATCCCAGTAGGGAATTAGTGGCGTCGGGACAAAAAGCCGGAAGGCACAGGAAAGCACAGCCACACGTTCGCATTTGGTCAACAGAAACTCTATTGACTCTTTATGTTTTCGGAATGACAGAGTTTCAGATGGGTGTGTCAGCTCTGGCTTTTTCACAACTTGTGAGTACTCCAATTAAAAAAGTCAGTCATATTGATAGACTTTATATCATTTTAACAGCGAAGTGATACAACGGTTCCAGTAGATTTTGACTATTGGTCAGTTTTCAATGAGTATCTCAATGTATTTTCAATGAGAATCTAAGGCAGATAGCAAAATTTTGGTAATAACCTTTTGTAAGCTCTCAATTTGCTCTATACAAAAAAGATTTGTTTGAAACGCAAGCGAAATCCAAAATATTTCTTTAAAATTTCATCTCAAATGAAAAGTCAGCTGACAATAGTGTGAGGGCTGTTCCATCATTTTTTCAATTGTTTCCATATATATATATATATATATATATATATATATATATATATATATATATATATATATATATATATATATATATATATATATATATATATATATATATATATATATATATATATATATATATATATATATATATATATATATATATTTTTTTTTTATTGGTAAGTATCAACCCAAAGGGCTATTTACAAAAATAAATTTCATACAGAGTACAAAGAATAACGGGATATGGGTATAAATAACATTTGATTGATCAGTTGTCAGGTTGTCGTTCTAACATCAGATTCTTATTCTATTCTTTTTAACAAATTGATGAATAATCTTTAGTGGTTCTAGGTCCCTTGCAATCAGGAATGCAGCTATAGTGAACGGCTTGGGGCATCTATGTTTAATTAATCTTTCATCCATTTCTTTTCGGTCTATCTCGGAGTACTCCGGGCATTCCCACAAGACATGGTTAATGTCTTGCACTTCCGCGCCACAGCTGCATACCTGTGAATCAACTATTCCTATTCGTTCCAAAAATTTGTTCAGGTGATAATGATCTGCACGAGCTCTGTTGACCCACACCACCAAGTCTCTAGGGAGCTTGGCTCGATGGTACCAGGGCCGTGAGCCTTTTTTCCAATAGTTTTGAAAGTAGAATACCCCTTTCGGTTTGAGTGCCTTCCCAGCCTGGGCCAAGATGTTCTCTCTAGTACCCAAATGTCTTTCTTGTTTGAATCGAGCTTTGAAATCGGTGGCTGGGATTGGATATCGTTCCGATTCTACTTCTACCGCATTCTTTGCTAGATTATCAGTCATCTCATTCCCCTGGATCCCCCTATGCGCAGGAATCCAGCGGAAGGTGATTTGAGAATTGTGTGGATTATTTTCTGAGAACTCCAGATATTTCTTTTTGGCAAGTAGAATATACGGGTTGATATGGGGGTGGAAGTGGATGGACTCGAGGCTCTGTAGAGCGCTGAGGGAGTCAGAAAGAATGAGCTGACTGAGCTCTTTGTTACTATTGGCTAAGTCTAGTGCAAGATTGAGGGCAATGCACTCCGCGCTATACACCGAGCAGTGATCGTCTAGAGCGACTGAGGTGTCAGTGTCCAAGCCTGGGCAATGACATCCAGCGCCCACATATTCCGTATCTGGGTCCTTTCTTCCATTTGTGTATATTACATTGAAATTTCTGAATTGGTTCACGAGTTCCTGATTCAGAGCCTCATTAGAAGCTGGGAGAGCTTGTAAGGTGGTTCCAAGGTCACTGGTGGTTTTGATGGAGGTGAAAAGGGTGGGAAAATCATGTAGGAATACCAAAGTTGGCACTACTTTCTACTGTTTTCTCAAGCTGTAAAACTTCCCTTCTCTCAAGCTGTAATACTTTTAGTAATCAGCTTGTCTCTGACCAAAGTCCTAGTTCTTTTTTCCTTAAAAATAAGCGAGATGGTATCATACACCTGGGTGGAGCGATTAGATAAGACTTGAATCAGGTAGGACTTTGCAAGGAAACGCGCTCGATCCTCCAGCAGCATCAATTTCGATTCTCCTATTAAGATGTTGGTCGGAGTACTGCACCTATATCCCAACGCAAGTCGGATCGCCGTGAACTGAATTCTTTGGAGCTTCGCTAGATATTTCTTTGTTTTGGGAAAGTATGCAAAGAGTCCGGATCAATGATAGAGCGGACATAACTTTTGTACAACCCAATTAATGTTTCGGGATCGGTCCCCCACCGAGTGGTGCGCAAGAATTTTATAATATTTAGGGCTCTGAGGCATCTTTGTTGTTACATTGAGATTTGATGATTGAAATTTAGTTTTTGGTCAAATTGGATTCCTAAGAACCGCGCCGTCACGGACGAAAAAATCTCTTTACTTCCAATTCTAATTTTCGTATTTTCAGGGGGCGAGCCCTTTTTACTGAAGCGCAAGACTACTGTTTTTTCTGGTGCAATGCTTAAACCAAGATTTTTAAGATTGGCTATAACTTGATCGATTGTATTTTCCAGGATAATTTTATCTGTTTGCTCATTATCAAGTCTCATGTATAGGGCAACATCGTACGCGAAGAGAGATGACTCCACTCTGGTGTTGATTCTCCTGAGTATGTTTCGCGTATATATAGTATATAAAATTGGGGATAGAACTCCCCCCTGCGGCAGACCCCTGTAGACAGTTCGGGTACCATCCCCAGGGCGTCACAATGAAGTATTCTTTCACGAGTTAAAAACTTGACAAACCTCAAAACAGAGCTAGAACAACCAATTTCAGCAAGAATGTCCAAAAGGATGTCACCGATGACATTATCAAATGCACCAGTGACATCCAAAAAGACGGCCAGTGTCTGCTTTTGTTCACGGAAGGAGTCTTCGACATGAAGGGTAAGATTCACCAAATTGTCCCTGCAGGAAAGTCCCGATCTGAAACCTGTTTGCGATATAGGAATGCTGCAGTTTCGTTCGACCCACCACTGGAGTCGATTCTTTATGAGTGATTCATAGAGCTTGAGCACGCAGGAGGTAAGGGCGATTGGTCTAACTCCTGTGTTACTACCTTTCGGAATAAAGTGAAGAAATGAGCTTTTCCATTCCGGGGGGAATGCTCCTGAAGTATGAAATTCGTTGAAGATATCTAATAGGATAAGTTTCAGTTGTACTGGTAGTTTTTTCAATAGGGTATAATCGATGCCGTCGAGGCCTAGAGAGGATTGGTTTTTCCTATTGTGCAATGAAAAGTTGAATTCGTCAAATGAGAAGGGTTGGTCGAAGAGGGGATTAGGTGGTGAGGGCGGGATTTTGTCGGGATTCGTGGGGCATCCATCAGGGCTCAGCCTTCTCAAGGCTGTTTTTATCTTGTCTAGCAATGAGTCAAAATCGCTTGGTTTTTGTTGAACATTTACCCAAGCGTTCTTCAAAATTTTGCACGTATTCCAGACGTACTTAATATTCGTTCTCGCATTTAAGCTCTCTTGAAATTTTATAAAGCAGTGCTTTTTCTTTCGCTCGAAAGTTTTTCTAGCTACTGCGACAGACCTTTTATATGCCATGAGATCCCTGAAACCCCTAGTATATCTCCACTTTTTGTATGAGGCTCTGCGTAATCTAAGGACTCTGTCACATTCTTGATCCCACCATTTAACCGGATTGCGATGAATTTTGGGAGAAACTAATTTTCTGCGCGGAGTGCATTTTGCTACGTTGGACACAATGTTATCTATGAAATATCGATATTTATCTATTGGACTGAGATTGTCGTACATAGCTGACAGGAACGAGGTGAAAGATGTTGACAGTAAATCTGTTAGTTCGTCCCAATTAGTACGGACCGAGGTTATCTTGAAGGATTTTTTTTGGTATATTACTTTACGGACACCGAGAGTAATATAAAGCGGAAAATGATCCGAACCCCATGTCTCTTCGATTGCATTTATAGAAATAATATCTGCTATGGCCGGAGAACTCATTGCCAAGTCAATATTAGATTTATTTCCCCGAAAAACGTCAAGGTAAGTGTATGTGTCAGTATTGTGCAAAATAATATCGGTGTTTTCAATACAGTTGTAAAGGCGCGTGCCGTCTGTTTTGCTTTCCCTACAATTCCATGCAATGTGTTGTGCGTTAAAATCTCCTACTAAAATACAATTGTCTAGACTTTGGTAGATATCTAATAATTGCTCCCAATATTCTAATTCGAGTGATTGACCAGGACGGCGATAACATGCTATTATGTTAATTTTTGGTTGAACATTGTTTATTTATATCGCCGCTAATTCGACGGTAGGGTGAGGGTTGTTAATTTTATCGAGAATTTTAAAAGAAATAGTATTTCTCACAAAAAAGATGATGCCTCCTCCAAGTTGCTCCTGTCTATCTACTCGGTGAGTGTGAAAACCAGGGTATTTATACCGCTTCCTGTCCTCCTTGTAGAGTTTTGTTTCAACGCCAATAAAGATGCCGATGTCCTGTAGAGCGTTCTCGATGGCCTCACGATGACTATTTATTCCTCTGCTGTTCCAGAAGACAATTTTCAAGTTGCATTGGCTAGTAGTTGGGCCCGGCTGATGTGGTGTGGATTGACTAGCCATGATATAGTTTATGATTGGGAACTGGTCGAGGAGGTTGAGGTGAGATAACTATCCTCTGCTTGATTGCCATGAATGCTGTCAAATTTGTTAGCCAGTCGTGTCATTCTCCCTTTTAATGATCTGTCATCACAGTAAGGAAGAAGTTTCCTCAGAGTAGTGGCCAGCTCCAGAGGATCTGCGTTCCACTTCATATTCAGAACTCGAGTATCTTTGATCTCATAGGATTCATCGATTAATTTGATAACCTGGTCATAATCAAGACAGTAACTGTCCTTGTATTTGGACATTTCTCTGGCCATGCGGCGTGTCCACTTTCTCATGAACTCATCAGTTAGTACTCGTTCCTTTTTAGATTTTTTCGGTTTTCTCCGATTTTTTAGAGACACGAAACCATCAGAGTCTGACACTGGAGAAGCAGTTGGTTCAAACTCTACAGGTGTATCCGGATGAACTCGTTTACTGGTATTGGTGTTGCCGATTTCCATCGGCTGCGGCGGTGCCTCAGGAGGGTTGGCCGGTTCTGCATCCTCGGACGTTTCTGGCTCATCGCCTGGAACCCCAAGGCCGTCTCCTGCCTCTCCTTCTTGCTGTGAGGTACCTGAAACTACTTGGCTGAAGCTCAAAGTCGCTGATGGTGCGCGTTCTCGAGCTTTAGTCAGCCTCTGAGAGATGCTGTGTCGTTGCTCCACTGCACCCTGAGGGCAGTTTTTAGCGATGTGGCCGGTTGCATTACACTTGTAACAGGCTTGGCTGTCAATTATAGTGGTGATCATATGTGTAATACCTTTAAAGACGACCTTGATGGTCTCTGGGATCCTGAGTTTATCTTCTTCATGGATTAGGAGTTGCCTCCTGCCGCTGGCAACATCATAGCCCTCCCTGTCCAGTTTCAAATTTATAAAAGATATCCTCGATGCCATCTCAATTTTCTCTTCTCTCAACGCTTCTTCAATGGGTCGATGAGGTAACTTGGGATCAACTCCTGTTAGAATGACTTTGCGGGTTTTCTGTTTCTCTGGCGTGATGATCAATTTATTTTGGCCTATAAATAGACTGGTATCGGGAGAGGTGAGTTTGTCAACAAGCTCAGGTGTCGACACGTAGATGGAAACACAATTTCTTCCCGGAATTCTCGTATAGGCCTTGACGTTTATACTTCCAATAAATTCGCCAACGGCATAAATGTATTCTTTGACTGGTGTACCTTGTATAGCTTTGATGAAGATGCTTTGTTCCTCCGTAGGGAAAAACTCATCTTCCAGGGTGTCACTGGTGGCCTGTGAGAAGGAGCGGGTCCCAGCTCTCGGCGTAGTCTGCTCGAAGTTGTCTGTTTTTTCACTGGACTGAACAATCTCCCCAACTTGGTTCGTCTGTGTCGCCATCGTATATGATAGTGTTGATACACTAACGAGAACAAAAAACCACCCAGGTGCAGCCCAGGGCGGGCTAGACTCCCACGTTAGTTGCTTGTTTTGCCTCGATTAATTACTTCGTCTCTATTTCTCCGGGCCGCTCAACGGAGCAGACCCAAAACACGTCTTGCCTCAACGAAGGCTCAAACGTGACTCATCATTTTTATATTTATATGATAAACATAAAATGACTATAACAATATTATTCATTTCTTTCTTTGTTCGTGCGCATGTGCTTCATTATATCGTCGCATTAAAATCAAAGGGGCGTAAGTGCCAAAAAACCCATTTTAAAACTGAAAGGGGCGTATGTTCCGAATTCCTGTTTTTTCAGTTTTTCATGGAATTTCTGACCAAAAATCGGAAAAAAAAATCTAGGAAAAAGGCATAATTGCTATATTTCAATGGGAAAGGGGCGTATCTCCACACTTACGCCTGTTTCATTTCATTCAAAAAATGACACTTACGCCCTTTTTACATTATGTGTTGTGCACTTCGGATGACACATTTCATGTTGAAATAAAACGAAAAGGGCGTAAGTCCCACATACGCCTCTCTCTCATTATATCTTAGGTCTACTCGCGATAATGAGTTTTATATTGTTATATCAACATAAAACGCTTTAACTATTTTCTTCTTCCTTTATGGTCTCATTTTCTTCCGAAGTGTTCAAAGCAGTCACGACTCGAAATTTCATACAGATAATTTCCTGAAATTCGCAGTCATAATTTAAAAAAATGAAATAAATTAATGAATGAAATCGAATAAATTTAGAAGAAAATTTTAGAAAATTTTAGTTTAGTTACTGATATTTCTCATGAAATTGTTTCATTCAAGCAAAAAATCAAAGGGAAATAATTTGAACATTCATGATGAGAGGGAGGGAGGGGAGGTTAATGTAGAATCAAATATTATTTATTATTAGGGCTGTAGTGCATGTGATTCCGTTTATACTTGATGAATCAATAGGAACGAACAGTAACAAATGAAGGGACATATATATTGGAGTTACGCCCCTCTGTGATTATTGCTTCAAAAACAAAGGGACGTATGTGCCTGAGTTACGCCCCTTTGGAATTATTCATTCTCAATATGAGCTAGAAAAGAAACAAAAAGTATAAAAAGAAAGAGGCGTATGTTCTGGAGATACGCCCCTTCAGTACTTGCTAGTCGGACTTACGTCCATTTGCCACTTCAGAAATTTGTCCACAAAAAACCTTTCATAAGTTGAGAAAACTCCATTTCGAAGGAAAAAAAAACATACGCCCCTTTGGTATTAAGAGAAAAAAAATCTCAGAGAAATGGCACTTACGCCCCTTTGATTTTAATGCGACGATATATTTTCCGTCCCGGCGGGCGCAAAGTTACATTTCCCTCCCGCTTCGCGGGAGGGAACTCTGATTTTACGCCTACGCCGAGACAGAAAATCGCGTTCTAACCAGGGGAGGTAAAATAAAGGACCCTCAGCCGCGTGCTTACCAACCTCGCATTCGGCTCGGCTGGTAATTGCACTGGCGGCTGAGAATCGTTTATTTTCCCTCCCTAGGTTAGAAATATACTATTTTATGCCCAAGTGCAGTTAACATAAAATAAAATGAAATGAAATCGCAGCGTTTTTATTTTATCCCCTGATACTGGATAAGACGCGGCGATTTGAAGCAGTCTCCCCCCCTTATGATCCCCATATGACCTCCACATCACCCCTATATGACCCATATTCTGAGCTTTACCGGGACCCCATTTCTGGCCCTTGGTTTCGAGTCTTAATTTTTCATCTTAATTTTCTATCGCCAAAAGTCGATTTTAATTTTTATAATATAGAGAGGATATTAACTAATTCTCATTAATTTGGTGATTTTCTGTTTCTCTTCAGAATGGCGGTAGTTATGTCCTCGTTGTTGATGCTGGAAGGGAAGCTATTCTATCAGTTTGGCAGTGGCAATGGGGTCATTTACTCGGCAAAGTGGCGGTAAGTATGATGAAGATGATGATCACATTAGTCCAGCATTTTGAATCTGTACATCCGTAGCCAAGTGGTGAAACGTTATCAATGTGTATCTAAACGTTTACACCGCAATCTCACTTACGCTCATCTATTATTAAACTGTCTGTTTCGAAAAAAAAATAATTTTAGTGGCTAAAAATAGTCGTGAAATCTCTTTGGATATATCATCATTCATCACCCAATATTCCCCCCTAGTAGTTGGAATATAATTTAACTCGTTGAAATTCATATTAATTAAAATCGTTCATGTCATGAATTCTTATCAAGAAAGTTATTATTTATCAAAAAAAAATTGTTACTTCCCTTCCTTCCTTATCTTACGAAAATAACACACCGAATAAAATGTACGTATCTCATTAGACCACTTTGCTACTACAATTAATAATCAATGAAACGGTCACCGAAGTCATGAATTAATCACTTATCTCCTCAGACATTACAAGAAGACTTGACCGGCGCAGCCTTTCATCCTCTCGACGACAATCTCCTTATAACCCACGGTCGTGGCCACTTAACGTTCTGGAACCGGCGCAAAGATGGATTCTTCGAGCGCACCGACATAATAAAACCAGTAAATAGCTTGATACAATAACAATTATTAACCTCTTAAGCCTAGATTGGTCACCACAGGAGAGAAACGCCGCAGCGCGTCGTTTATCATTTCTTATCATTCACTGGCTGAGCGGAACATTCTGAGAACAATTGAATTTATCAATTGACGTTTCTCGAAAATTATAGAATTTTTTAGAATGATTTATATTCGGAATTCATGAAGAAACTCAATTATTTCGAACCGAGGAATAATTTTTTTCCATATTAAGTATATCTTCGTTCAAGTACTTCGTTCAAGTTGGCAAGTTTTTCTTTTAAGCACGATTTCCGTTTTGCTAAAAATTTTCATTGCTTATGGAGAGAAATATTATATTCAGTAAAAATTACGGAAAAATTCACGTGTCCTGCAATGGGGAATCGTTTTTCGGCAATTTTTATAGGAATGAAAGAGAAGAAATCTGAAATATTCCGTGAATTCTCAGGTTCATCACAGAACAAAGTACAAAATTTTCACGTAATTTTTTCCGAAGAAGTAAAATCTTACAGAAACTTGCCGACTTATTATGCCTCCAAAATCACAAATTCTTGAACGTTCCACAATTTTTATGAAGCTGGGGAGTTATTTATATGTTCCGTTCCGTAAAATTTCTCAATCGTTGGAGAAAAATTACGGAACGACTTGCTGTCCAGACAGCGGTGAGTCATCAGACGGGTGATTAATTTTTACGGAACAAATCGTAGAATTTACGTGGCGATTCGCACAATTTCAGTTCCGATTCACACTTTTTATTAAATTTTACTTCGCTCGCGGATTGAGTTTCGAAACGGAATTTTTACGTTATTTTCTAGTAATTTTATTGAATTTTTCTCTCCGTGTTGAATTTCTTTATTCTTCTGATAAGCTTAGCCGAAATAACTCAGAAGCGAATCCCTGCGGAGATGACCAAGTCGGAATTTCACGTGTGGTGACCAACTAGGGGTAAAACAATCCGTAATATTTGCTACTTCGTTTATAGCCCTCACGAACGCACGTGACCAGCATTCAATTCGAGCAAGATGGTGACGTAGTGACAGCAGACTCCGACGGATTCATCACGGTTTATTCAGTGGACGCGGATGGTGCCTATTTCGTTCGAATGGAGTTTGAGGCCCATAACAAGGGCATAAGCTGCTTGGTGATGCTCTCAGAGGGGACTTTGCTTTCTGGTGGGGAGAAAGACAGGAAAATTGCGGCATGGGACTCTTTACAAAATTACAAACGGATTACGGATACTAAGGTATGTACATTCTGATTAGACAGACTTTTATTCATTTACATTTCCAGATCGAATAGCTTGTGTCAATAGACTGATTTTTTAAATCTAAATGGAAGAAAAATTGGCTTTTGTTAAGATGATTTGTTTTGTGAAAATAAATGTTTTCAATTATTACATAGTTTATGTAAAAATTTGATGATGTAATAAAACGGTGATTTTTCATTTTTAAAAATACGGCGGATTCTTGGATTTACAGATGTTGAGATCACCGTTAAATCACGTTCGCACATTTAAAAAAAAAATGAAATTTGATAGATTGGCCAGTATTAATTTCCAGGAACTCAACTCTAAGGAGAAAAAATTATTAACAATTTCACTAAAAATTCTGATGTATTCTAAATTTTTGAAATGCAAGAACACGAAAATTGAATAATTTATTTGAAATTTCGACTTAAAAAAATGAACACTCGGAAATGAACACTTTCAAGTTGCCCAGAATTTCCAATTAATTGAAATTTCAAGAAGGTATTTACCTAAATTTTACAGACTTTTAATGCATTTTATGGAATAATTAAGTCGAAATTCGCAGCTTGCACTAATTTTTTTTATCAAATTGTGAATTTTAAATGACGAAATTCCTTGAAAGTGCAGGGAAACAGCCACTTGATAGAAATTTCCAACAAGTGTAATGGAAATTTTAATCAAACTTGTTTACGGGTGCATTAAATTTGATTTAGGGGGTCAAAATCAGATAATTTCAAGTTTCACTGAAAATTCACTGTAATTCAAAATTTTTGAGCAGCGGAGAGACAAGAATTCCCATACTTACAGAAACCATCAATTCACAAATAAATGTTCACTACCAAATTACATACAATTATCAATTAATTGACAATTCAAGAATATAGTGACCTGAATTATCCTCATTTCTATTAATTTCCGTGGGAAAATTGAGCTGAAATTCACAGCTTTCATTGATTTTTTCATCAAATTGTGGATTTCGAAGAGGGAATTCTCTTCAACTTCAGCAAAACTGTCACTTGATAAAAGTGCTCAGAAACTGTGTCGAAAATTTCAGCCGAAATCTTTCACAAGTGAAAAAAAATCTACCGGAAATCGAAAGTCGTGAAAGCGAAATTATTTTATTAGACTTGGGGTGTTCCATTCGAGAAAGTTGAATGATGGCATTCATCAGGAATTAATAGAGGATGGTCCACCATCACATTTGGACTATCCACCGTTTTTTTAGATTTTCTTCTCAAGTTATTAACAATCGAAGTCGCTTCTTTCACATGAGCTCTTACGGAGATTTTTCGGCTTAGCACTGATAATACATATAGTTTCACGCTGATTTGAAAGGGCCCATGGATAAGAAACCGAATTGGTTGTTAATCACCCGCATACGAAATCTCGAAAAATTCGTATGTCACTCAACAACTACGATGAGTATACTATAAAAATTTCGAGACAATGTCATCATTTTTTTGCAGAGAAAACCCCTTCAATATCGGTCTCCCATTCAATATCGATGTCTTCATCCGTCAAAATGATGAATCATGCCATTCTCTTAAATCGAAGTTCTCCTCCTTGAAATGATTACGACAAGCGCAACCATAAACAGGAAACGAAATACCCAAAATAAATAACAGTAATCCATATCAAAGCTTCGTTTTCCTTTCCTGCACGCGATAAAAATCTTTTCAAGAAACACCTCACCCACATATATCCATACACAAACGAAAAATCCACAAGAATGTTTATGCAAATCCACCGGGACCCAGAATATCGTCAAAACAATTAATCATTTTCGAATGTGGGTGAAGGATCGATGCATCAACACAGTGATAAAGTCACTGACGCACCAAAAACAATGTATATGCACTAGTGTCCAGCTAATACGAATGCATAAATCGATTTCATTTTCATCAGTTACCAGAGGCAGCTGGTGGTGTGCGCAGTATTTACCCCCAGCGACCAGGGAGAAACGACGGCAACATCTACGTTGGTACAACACGAAATAACATACTCGAGGGCTCACTACAACGTAGATTCAATCAAGTTGTGTTTGGCCATGGTAGACAGTTGTGGGGACTCGCTGTACATCCGGATGACGAGGTCTTTGCCACTGCAGGACACGATAAAAATATTGCACTGTGGAGGAGGCACAAATTGTTGTGGACGACGCAGGTTCGTGAATTTGTGGTTCTGGTGGGAGCGGAGGGAGAGGAGTTCTTCATTCGGGTTAGAATTGAGGCCGAGGTATTTGGCAAAGGATAATTAACATTAATTGACCTTTCAGGTGGGCTTCGAGTGCATTTGCATTGCTTTTCATCCATTCGGGGTGGCGCTCGCTGCTGGCTCGTCAGAAGGTCATCTTCTTGTACTTGCGGCTGATACCGGCGCTGCTGTCGCGACGCTCAGGGTCTGCGGTTCGCCTATATCTTGTATTGGATATAATCCCAGTGAGTTTTCGTTTAATTCCTTATTATGAGATTTGACATTTCTCGAATATTTTTCTGTTGATTACATGAAAATTAATGACGCATTTAAATCAAATAAAACGCTTAATTTGAAATTTTTCTGTTGCTTTTAACCCCTTAAGTGAGTGAATTTCTGGAATTCAATGTTTGTCGATACTCTCGTAAAAGTGCGTGCCCACACAGTTATCAATTTTTAGTTAGTTTTGAGGTAATTCAATTAAGCTGTTGTTCATCTCATCAATGTAATTCCCTGCTTAGAATATTGTCATCTAGTGTTTATAGCACCAAATTAAAGATTATAACTCAATTTGGATTATTGAGTCACAGCTTTGTTTTATTCATATAAAAAATGTTGTATTTGGATATTAATATTATTTATTCAAAGTGAAAAAATCGATCATTATTTTCATTATATTGCATGAGATTCTCCTATCGTTAACATAAAAAATGGGAGATAATCTCATAATTCTAGCTATTAATGATGTTTATCTAAAATCACAAGTATTAAAAAAAAAATTGATTTTTTTTTCAACTGAGAGATGAAGTTATTCCCTTTATCTTGAGAAAAATTTAATCCACCAACCCACGTTGTTTTTGCCCGTGTACCCCAATTTTTCTTTGGCCATTCAATTCAGTATAGTTTTGCACATTACCTTGTATTTTTATTTCTATTGTTAGAGTTTTCTAGTAGGTAAATTACGCATTTCAACATAAATTCCATAAGAGCCCGTGTATAAAGAAAACTTATTTATTTATTTCTGGCGAGACTATTGTGATTATTTTTTTTTAACATCAAAGAAGTTAGTTTCATATGTTCTGCTATCAGTCAACAAAATTATAGAATTTTGCTTGGACATGAAATAATAAGATTTGCTGAAAATCGCTAAACATCCTTAATTCGAATCATCTCTGTTCGAAGAAAACCTTAGTAAACGCAATATTAAAAAAGCAGAATTATTCCATTTTCCTATGACCTAAATGATTTTGACAATTATGATTTATTCATGTTTCATAGAATGGCATTCAATTCTCCTCTTGTTTGTTAGACGGGCTTCATGAAAATTCGACGCAAGTCGATTGTACTCATGAAAACTACTATATTTGCTCCATTTGTTCAAGATGTCCCCCATGTTCGAGGTCTCATTTTCGATTAGACATATTATTGCCCATGTTTTTTTTCTTAGAAGGAAACTGATCCAATACAATAAATTGTATAAAAAAATCGAAATCTATTGACTTTTTCTATAGAAATAATTGCTAAATCCAATAGAACTGTCTGGTGCATTCGCAAGGTTGTGTTGATACGAAATGTTTACAGAAATCTCCATAAATTTACTTGAACAGAACTAGAATTGTTCATAGCCGATTATTCCCAAAATGTGTCTCCAATTGTTGAATTTACATCTTCACATGACTCTATTATATACTGGAATGGTAAAACATCCTCTGATTATTGGCTTTGACTGAACGATTGATATATTTATTTTCAGCTGGAGAGATGATAGCCATGGGATCGCAAAACGGTAGTATCTACCTGTTCCGAGTATCGAGGGACGGTTTCTCCTATAAGAAGAGCAATAAAATCCGAGGCACTCAGCCATTGGTTCAACTGGACTGGAGTTCAGATAGCAGATTCCTCCAGACAGTCACTCAAGATTACGATCTTGTATTTTGTAAGTGTCGAGTGAATGAGTAATATTTCATTACCTCCAACATTTGTCTGATTATTCTACAGGGGATGTGAAAGCGCTGCAGTCGGAAAAGAGTCCGATAGTGATGAAGGATGTGAAATGGCACACTCATAACTGCACCGTTGGATATACGGTTTCGGGTGAGTCTATAAGTCATTTTAAAATACTATGGAGTTAATGGGACATTCATGAGGAATTGAAAGTTTACGCAAACTCATTATGTTGAATAAGAATTTTTTATGGAGAACAAATCGTAAATTATTAACGTTTGATTGCACAGAGAAAAGCTGTTATTTTTTCGATGAAAATAAAAAAAATGGTTTTTCATTTTTTATACATATTGTTGTGTCGAGATTTCTTTCGATAAAAACGTTGTTACAGAATAAATACTTCAGAAAATTAAAAATTTATGAATTTTCTAAATTTTTTGAATATCAACATTCAAATTTTAGGCAATAATAGATTTATCTAATTCAACCAATGTTCTTAAACATTGAATTTGAAAATTTAAATTACATAAAAAATAGTTTTCTCTAATTCAGCCAATGTTCCCAAGTTTCAAACAAATGACTTACACGACCTCTGAAAGAGAATAATGAATATAATTATGATTTAGGAATGTGGAATAACCGTTACTACCCACTGACAACGGTACTGACGACCGCAAGTCGTTCAGCAGCTCACGATATGCTCATAAGCGGCGATGCCGAGGGTTACCTCCGTCTCTTCAGATATCCATGTACCAGTGCTAAAGCCGAGTACCTCGAGGAAAAGGTCTACAGTTCGCTAGTTGCATGTGCACGTTTCCTCTACAACGATCAAAATGTTGTGACCGTTGGCGGGACTGACGCTGCGCTCATGCTGTGGGAATTGGTCGATGAATAATCGTAAAATGAAAACTACAACGTAATGGAAGTAATGGAACATCGAATCGAATGAGCACAATCTCCGGCGCCGGCTATTCGTGAAGAGCCGACTGGTTCATTGAGACTTGAATACCCGTCGGGCGTAACTGCCTTTTATCTTATTTATTTATTCAATAGAATATTTTCGGCGCAGTGAAATTTGGTCATTATTTCTCATTGTCATGACTCATCGATCCACAATTCTACCGTACAAATGAATTCCAAAGAATTCAATCTCCATACAATGGAACGTAACAATTTTTTTATGAACACAATGAAAATTAATTGACGAAATTCATTGATCGAAGAAATTTTTGTCATAAACACATTTTGGATTTTGATGGTTTTATTAGGATTAAAAAACCAAGAAGCATGAAACACGTGAAGTTTTTTTTGGTGATGTAACATAAATTCTAACAGAAAAATTGACAGAGGGGAATTGTGATTGCAATGCTGAATCTACAATGAAATTACGATAATTTTCGCGAAAAAAACAGTTCGATAACTGAATTCGGTGTTGAACTCGTGAAGCTATACAGAGAAAAAAGTTTCTAGTTTTCGGTAGAAGTCTCTTAACTTCAGAACTATGTCGTATTGAAATCTAGCCCGTAAAAATCCGGGACATGAGTGAAACTTTCACTAATTTTAAGTTATTGATAGCGTGGTTAGAAGAGGTCGAAAAAAAGTCAACAAATTGATGATTTTTTAAAAATACATTCGCTGATCTATCCTAAAAGGCTGTGCGAATTCTAGGAAGCCTAGAAGAATGCTGAAAACACAGAAATTATGATAAAAAATGCAATTTAAGGATATCCAAGTACTTTGTTCAAGTTAGCATCTTTTTCCTTTTTAAAGCAAGATTTTAGTTTTGCCGAAAGTCTTGCCATCCATAATTTTCAGGTCTTTCATTGTTGAATACATTTTTTTCGGGAATTTCTTCAATGAATATTGTGAACAATATTCAATTTCACACTTGACACTCGTTGATTCGTACGGTAGAGAGTTAAATTTTGAATCGTGAAACAGGTTTGTTGATGAATTGAACAAAATATATAGAAATGTTCCGTGGCTGGACGTTAGCTGCAATAATTATGAAAAATTTAAATTTTGGAAAATTAAAAAATTTCAATGTAAAAAAACAATAGACGATTAGACATATCCACTTACCATTTATAACGTACACACTCTAGAAAATAATTACTTCTGATAGCGGATAAATTATTAATTTTTTTATTCTCAATCAATCAACGTTATTATTCGATAAAAAAATGAAAATTTTTATTAGTTTGGTCGAAAACCTCGATGTTTTGAAAAAAAAATCGAAAATCGATTAATCGGCGGTTGAAAACATAGAATGAAAACATTGAACATTTTTCCGGGAACGATTCTCGAGGGAACATTTCTTCTAGAACCTCACCGTACCAATTAAGAAGCTTTTAATTCGATTGTTTGCAATTATCTGTTCGAAGATTTATGGTTTTTAAAGTCGCAAAAAAACTAAAGAGTATAACGAACAACGTCATATACAGTCATGTGTACGAGAAAATGCCTCAAGAATATGAGTTACTAGATTGAAAATGAGAATATTTAACTCATACGGATGCAATGTGTTAAATTTCATTTTTCAAAAATCGTTTTCGCGAAAAATGTTCGGAAACTAAGGTTGATATTGTGCCTAAAAAATACTCTTGGTCTATTCTATAAACTCTGGAAAGGATTTCCCCCAGGAATCAATTCTGAATACTTTTTTTTTACGGCCTTTTGAGTCCCTTTTTCGGGTCTCCTTTCGGCCCTCTATGCAACCCTATGCATGTGGCTATGGTTTCTATACTGTGCCGCATTGACACTCCTATAGAACATAGGAGTAGCATGGAAAACCACAGGAAACCCATACCGTTACAGGCGGTTCCTCTAGTAGCAACCTCCGGCGCGCCGGAACCTTCCATTGAAAAATTTGGTTTCACAGGGAATCGACCTCACAACCTTTGGCACACTAGACTTGCGTCTAGCCCACTCGGCCACCGACGTCGGTAATTTTGAAGACTAGAAACCATTTTTCTCTGTATAGTCTCAATGTTTGGCTAAATCATGTTTACGTAATAATAAAAATGAACAATAAAAATGAAAATTGTTACATCAACAAAATAAAAACCATGTGTAATGTTCAACGACGCACACTGCGATATTAATCATGACCGATAACAATCATGCTACGCAAAGTTTAACGTCAATAGTTTAAATTGAAGAATATTATACCGTAGACATTCAACACAGATAGCGTGGTAATCTAAAGTTAATGATTAAAAATAGGGGCGCGGGCGCTCCATTCCTAGTCAAATCAGATTTGATCGAAATTAGCTTCGAAAAAAAAGAACAAAAATCTGCACCTCATTAATCTTCAGCATCAGCACAATTCAGGGGCAATGTCGCCAATAAAATGCCCCAATTTCATATCAAGTAGTTAATTTCGCATTCAATCAATAAATCAAATCTTCAATTGGAGTACATCAAGGGAAAATGATTTTCCGCACATTTTAAAGTGAGTGTTCCATTATCCCTTTCCCCCGTGATGTTTCCACAAATTTCGAGACATCAACGAGAATTCTCGGAACTTTGGGACATCAATGACATTGATGTAGAGTTTGACAGCACCCTGGTACCATCCAAAGCAAATGCGGTCGCTGGACGACATGCGAAATAAGTTATTTAATATAAATATTTCACTACTTTGTTCGCATATGGATATTTACGTACAACTACGTGTATCTAAAAATATAAAGATATATTTATAGTTGATTAGGATTAGACAAAAAAAAAAATTAATGAGCGGGAATTTTGGTTTACGAGACAGCGATCGAATTTTGTCGGGCAATTTTGTGAAGCAAGTATGTAATTGCGCTCTATTAAATAAAGGAAATCTGGAAAATTGGAAATTGTACACTTTTCAACAAATTTCATTCATCTTCTAGGGCTACGGTTGGGCATATCTTGAAGATAGGAGTTTTTGACGTAACACGATTAAATATTGATAACTCATACTTGGAATGTGAGAGACGCGGGTTTCAGTTTCCAACAGCGGTCATAAATATAATTCTATTTATTTGTTTTTCATTTTTTATTTTTGAATTCATATGCCATCCGTGAATTTTCATATTGTGGGTCTTTTTGGGGTTCATAGCTCCCGAGTGGGAATTTCGCTCGGGTTGTTCGGGTCTAAATCAGTTTTAGATCTATTACTGGTCAGGATTTTCTAATCAGATCTCCCGGATACGGATGTAGTCAGTTTCTGAACAGATTATCTGAATTCGATATGGCTCAGTTACATCTGATCCTATCCTAATCAGTCAAAGCTGATAAAATTAGACTTAACATTCCTGGTCCAGTTCGGAGCCGAAACACCTGACCTCAACCCCGATAAAGTGTGGTAGAACATTCTTGATCAGTTGAGAATCCAACCTATCGGATCTGAGCCTTTTTTTGAAATTCTGAACCCTTCCTGCCCTGGTTTGAATTCCGAGTACTTTACGGATATTCATCCAAAATCGCAAGTATTAAAGAAAAAAAATTTTTTTTCAACTGAGAGATGAAGTTATTTTCTTTATTTTGATAAAAATTGCAATCCACCAACCCACGTTTATTATTTAGAAATGGAGTGGACAAAATGCACCAAATGCGTGTGCTTACATACTAGTCCTTACGCCTACGACAGTCCTGTAAAATTGTTAGGTCGCGTCGAGGATGTCCGTGGGTTTTATGTTTTTTGGGTCGCTGATCACGAATCTGTCGGTTACTTTNCATAAGATAAAAGTTGTTCTACATAATCGTGGTAACATTTTTTGTCTGAACATTTTTTATCTTTCCAGATAAGGCCATTCAAACGCTAAAAATTGTTAATAACAATTGAAGGGACAATTTTTTGGAAAATCAAGCGACGGATTCGTGATCAGCGACCCAAAAAACATAGAATCCACTAACATTGACAATGCGTCCTAACGTTTTACATAGGACTGTCGTGGGGGGCAACGACAATCAGTATTACAACGGGCTCTATCTCTGTAAATNGAAAATACTCATTTTTTGTTTTATACCTTTTCCTCCTAACTATGATAGATACGGAGTTATCGGGGAGTGGCAGCGGAGCGGGCGCCGCGTGAGTACTCGCACAGGGTGTTAGCGCGCCCCGATGCGTTTATCGGGACACTCGATGCAGATAGAGAAAAATAGTTGAAANTGCGTCCTAACGTTTTACATAGGACTGTCGTGGGGGGCAACGACAATCAGTATTACAACGGGCTCTATCTCTGTAAATAATAGAGATTAGGCCAAAGACCAAAAGATCAAAAGTGTGTATTTTTTATGGGGAATCAACTATTATGCGACATTTTTTCCTGTATCTCCAATTGTTTACCCGTAAAACAACAGTAAACAAAAGCGTTCTAAGTAATTTGCCCGATCACGCAGCATGATGGCGTCAATATCTCATGAACTACTGGTTGTAGGAAAAAATGTAAAAAAATCAATTATATGGGAAATTTGATTGCAAATATTTTCCATTTCAGCTATTTTTCTCTATCTACATAGAGTGTCCCGACAAACGCATCGGAGCGCACCAACAACCTGCGCGAGTACTCACGCGGCGCCCGCCCCGCTGCCACCGCCCGATAACTCCGTATCTATCATAGTTAGGGGGAAAAGGTATAAAACAAAAAATTAGTATTTTTACATATCAAACATCTTTTGTTTGAACATTTTTCCGATATCTGTCATAGTTTGCCAGATAAAGCCTTTTATGGCACGCCGTGCAATAAGTCGAGTTTATCGCACGCTGCGCTTCGCGCAGCGTGCTTCAAGCTCGACTTCTGCACGATGTGGTATAAAATAGTATAGACCACTCGGGCATAAACTTCGTTTTCAACGGATGTGAATACAGACCTCGCCTTCGGCTCGGCCTGTAAACTTCACATTCGTCGAAAACGAAATTTGTGCCCTTGTACTCTAATGTACTATTAAACAATTAAAATTGTTAAAACAATTGAAGGGACAATATTTCGGAAAAGTAACCGACAGATTCGTGATCAGCGACCCAAAAAACATAAAACCCAATGACATTCTCGACGCGACCTAATCATTTTACAGGACTGTCGTGGGCGTAAGGACTATACGCTTATATGGGATAGAATCTTTCAAATATTTCCTCTTATTGAGCAGGTAGGGGAGACCGGGGTATAGTGGAGTACATAAAAAAAAGGCCAAAATTGAGAAATTCAAGGACTTGACGAGGAGTCGATCAGGGATGACTAAAAAGTCGGAAAAATCTAAAAAAACTCGAATAATGCTAAAGAAAAATAAAAAAAAATGGAAGAATTTTCGAAATTCTTTCAATTCTTTCAAACACCGGGATGAGCCGCCATATTGGGTATTTTGATTAAAACTGAATTCTTACAATGATCTAGACTTAGATAGTCAAATAAATTTGCTAAACCTATCCCCTGACGGTCGGTAATGACAAAAAAAGTAAAAAATGAGAAGAATGGAATCCCACTTGCTGTTCATACTCTCTGTTTACTGATATAAAGGTCATTTTGCTACTTAAGCAAGAGAATAAAAACAATTAATTAGAAGTACTAGGATTTGACCTCCTAAAATTGAGATGAACAAGACAAATCTAATGAATAAATTCGGAAATTTCAATTTCTAGAAAAAAATGAAATTGAGGAAAAAATGCGGACCTTATCGTGCCCCGAATCGATTCATTGGGACCTTCCCTACCGATTTCAGAGTTTTTCACTCGTTTTTTGGAGATTCAAAGGTTATAAAACAAACAAACAACATTTATGATTATTTTTAAAGTTTTGGACACTACCCCATTGTGCCCCCAACTGTAATACGTTGGAGACGCGAGTTGATAATTTTAGAATGTGAATAGTTATTGCTAAAAAGCAATATAAGTATGATCAAAGCTCTGACACCCGCCTCTTTGTCTTAGCTACCCCGTTTTGCCCGGTCTCCCCTACCTCAAATGTTTTTCTGGCCATTCGATTCGGTATAGTTTTGCACATTACCTTTTCTTTTTATTTCTATTTTTAGAGTCTTATAGTAGGTGAATTCTAAATTTCAACATAAATTCTGTAAGAGCCCGTATACCTATAAGGAAAAATTTGTTTATTTATTTCTGGCGAGACTATTGCGATTAATTTGTTTTAACATCAAACAAGTTAGTTTCATATGTTCTGCTATCAGCCAAAAAAATTATAGAACTTTCCTTGAACATGAAAAAATAAGATTTGCTGAAAATGGCTAAACATCCTTAAAGGACTAAACATATCTCAAATTTCGAATAGTCCGTAACGTAATCTTTCCTACAGTATACACAGTACATTCTTCTCTGTCACAGTGAAGGTCTTCACACATCAGTGGTGTTACGATCCTCGGTGAGTAAACAATGCACGAATCACAGATGACAGAGTAGACTCAAATTAGTTACTAGGAGGGGTAATGGTGACATTCTAGATTTTATGTTTTCTAGATTAGAAACCTAGGCCTTTCTAACAAAATTGGGAAAGATTTGTAGTCTTTACTCTTAGAATTTTTTGTTAGTTGGTTTTACTTTTAATGCAATTACGCAAAACCACAAGGTCCAATCTAAAACTCACAGAAGATGCTGACAGAATCTTTCTGTGTAATTACAAATTGATTCATTCCGTCTACGTTCTCTAGACAAGTTTTAACTTTAATACAAGTATACAGAACCCCAAAGTTCAATGTGGAACTCACGAAAGAATTTCTCAATGCTATATTAACGTTGAGGAATGGAAGTTCCATGATGATGATTTTTCTAATCAATAACAGAGCTAAATGGATTTTTCATTAGCTTGTTATTGGATGATGGTAATGACGTTAATTTTCATTATCCATTGAATCATATTTTCTAACGAAAAGTATTTACCACTTGACCTTCATGATCGTGTTCCTTCACGTTTCATGGAGAAAATGATTAATTAATTATTGAAATTCATCAACTAGTTGTTGAAATGCATTAATTAGTTGTTGAAAAAATGCATTACCAACCAGTTATGAAATTTCAACAACTATTTGGTAAAATTTACCCATCAATTAATTAAAATTCAGCAAATATTTTTCAATTTCATTCGATATATAAATGTAGATAAATGTGATATTTCTACTATACAAGGTGTTCCAAAATGAAATATTATCCTCGTCAGGGTAGTTCAAGGGGCTCATTTGGAGACGAAAACTCTAATAACATTTCTCTCTCCGTCGCTTCGTTTAAGAATTATCAAATAAAAAAGGACCGCCAATCAAATATTTGTCCCCGTTAGAGCAATCATATCGTTTTCTCCATTCAATGCGGCCAGACGAAGGCATTAGATGTCTCATCGATATCAATCAATCTCATCGCTCGATATCGAACGAGAGAGAAAATATGAATTTTTTACGTGGACTTTGATTTTCAGGGTCACATCACATGTTAGATCCAAATGGCTCTTACGTCACGGTTTTGTCGCAGTTTTTCTCACCCCGTTTCGGCAATGGAGATTTTTCACGGGAGGGTGTTTTGCAGCTGATCTTCCCGTTTTGGATCAATAACTTTTAAACAAACCGTCGGAGAGAAAACTGTTATTAGTTTTTATTAGACTCATCCCCACGAGGATGACATTCCATTTTGGGACACCCTGTATAATTTTCTGGCACGATCCCTTCCTCCACTCGTACATTTAATTAAGGCTGTTTGATAAATAAATTGGGAAGTAATATTGAAAATTCGATTCACAGAAAATGTTTGTTGAAATTAAAATTAGGTTGACCGGATCCGAACCTTAGTATCCGTTTCTCTTCAATGGACCCCGTTCAGATGAAAATCAAGCGCATCAAATCCAAATCGGATCAAATTGGGTTCAGACAGCCTGATCTCAAACTGAGATCATTTTTACCTGATCAGAACTCGATCTGAACTCGCCTACAGTTTTTGGAATCCCATCCAATAGATGAAAACTTGATCAGGTTTTCATCAGAAATCATCCGATTAGTCGAACCTTACAAAAACTGAACCAAGTTCTGATCGTACTTCAGGTGGACCTGAAGCAATTTCCACTCGGGACGTTGATTGAGTTTGAATGAAGATACAAAGGAAGTAGGGTCATGGGAAATGTAGAGAAAACAATAAACTGCACTCGATTGTTGTCAATTCGCGACGTTTCGGTTATAATTAAAGCTTCCTTCGTAAAGGTTCATCCTTGGAGGAAATGACAAATGCCAGTCTGTTAATAGTGTTGCGGGCCAGATTTTTTGATGTTTTACAAACGTAATAGTGTGTCTAGGAGTTCCCAACAAGGAAATTTCAGAGAATAATAAGACTATGTACTCAATTGTCAAGAAGCTTAAGGAAGCTTAAATTATACGCGAAACAGCGCAAATTGTCAATAATCTAGTGCAGTTTATTGTTTTCTCCCCATTTTCCACGACCCTACTTCCTTAATATTAACTATGGAGATGAATCATAATTTCATGGATTGAAGATACAAATTTGTCAGATTATGGAATTAAATTAGCCATTTGAAAATATCATCCGAGAATTACCAATAATTTCACAATTATTAAAATGTGGAAATTTTCTTCTAAAAATTAAAAATTGAAGATGTCAGCTAAAATATGCAATGCTTTTTCCCACTATTGTTGGCCTCCCCTCCTACTACTATTGACGCAACTGTTAGAATTCGTGGCAGCAAACGTTCATAAAATTCTTGTGGAGATAATTTCCGATTCAGTCGAAGCTCAGACCACGTACCAAGAAGTCTATCATACAGACAGTAATTCCCGTATTGTAATTGGAAAGAGGTCTTTCGCAGCAGCTCGCGTAAAAATTTTTGAATATGCGGAAGCTTCTACTCATCACGATTTTTATCCTCGTGGTAAAATCATCAATCACTGCATCGGAAGGAGTACTTTGCCAGATCGATAAAGCTGGTTTCGAAATTTGTGGACACTATGATACAATAACATTCGTAAATTTAGTGGGCACCGTATCTCAGCTCACATTCAATGTCAAAAAATTGTCCGGAATAGCTCCGAATGCGTTTCAAAATGTGAATCTCACCAACTTCAAGCTGTCTCATCCTGATCCAGAGAATTGCACTCCAAAATCTGTGGAATTGAAACCAACATCATTTGACGGCTTACGGATAAATGGTAGTCTAACGCTCCAGTGTGTAAACTTGATAGTGCAACCTAATACTTTCAAAAATTTCAAAACGGTCAGTACTTTAATGTTAGAAAAAGTAGACTTATTTGGAAATCCACATGATTTTTTCGCTGACTTTCAATACCTCAAAGTGTTGAGATTATTCAACATCAACATCACAGCAATTTCTCCTAGTGTAGTATCTGGAATCAGCGAAAAACTCGAGAGATTCATGATGGAGGGTGGAATACGTAGTATTCAACCGAAATCTTTTGAAAAATTTCATCATCTGAAATATCTTGTACTCTGCAAAGGTGATTTGACTGATCTACAATCTGACATGTTTGAGGGTCTTGAACAATTATATTACTTGGATTTGGCGGATAATAACATCACTGTTTTATCTAACCATACATTCAGTAAACTGACGCAATTGAGAGAACTCTATTTGGATAATAACAGAATCAGTGAAATCCAATCTGAAGCCTTTTCTGGCTTGAATGTCCATACGATCGATTTGCAGGATAATAACATACAAGATCTACCTGATGGAGTTTTTGGAAATCTACAGAATTTGGAGACCTTAGACCTCAGGACTAATAGAATCAGAGCTGTGTCCTCCAAGGCTTTTCGAGGATGCATCAGCCTCCGATCGTTGAAGTTGGATTACAATGAAATATCCCATATTGACCCCAGTGCCTTTTGGGGTTTAAATCTCGATGTTCTTGATTTGAGTCACAATAACTTAAATGTTCTGGAACGGAACACGTTCATTGGTCTCACTGTTGATGATTTATTAGATCTACGGTCCAACAATATCACAGAAATTAAGCCACGAGCATTCATCAACTTGGTAGCTGGAAAGGTTTTACTTTGCGCCCACAATATGACTGTAGTTGATAGAAATACTTGGAGTGTGGAGGATACAATTGAGTACATTGCCATCGTCGACTGTTAGATTACTGAAAATTGAGAGGGTTGATGTCGAGGATGTAGATTAATTAGAAACCTAACCGAGCTCATGTATATGAATCGTTTCCAATAAAATTTTGTGACGAGGTAAAAAATGGGGTCACAGAATCTTTTGATCCCCCTAAAATTTCCGCCACCGTTGGTTTCCCATGAATCCCCAAATATTCCTTCCCCCCGCCCCCACCCACGAGGTTACGCCGAGAAGAGCCCTAGAACACACCGCAGCCGTAACCGCAAGGGGATACGAGGAAGAGAGAAAAGGAGAAGAGAAGAGAAACAGACCCCTCCACACGACCCTCCGCAACGCCTAGAACCCACTCGGCCCATCGAAAATTGGTGTGACGTCAGACGGAAGAAGACGAATTCGCCCCCGAAGGACCCCCAAGAGACTGTACGAGCGATGTAACTGATCACTTTGTGTCCAGCCGTCCCGGAGGAAACATTAAAAGTTAAGAGGAACCAAATCGTGTAAAAGAGTGAGCCCGCGGAGTAGAGAAAACTTCCCAGGGGCAATATTACCTGGAGCCAATCATCCGCCACGGGCGATAGAGGAGAAGAGGCTGAACCACCCCCGGTGGATACGCACATACCCCGAGTCATCCCCAGGAAGCGGCTACAAGTCAGCACCGCGTGAATACGAGTTACATTCCCCCCATTCCAGTAGTCTCCAATTATTCATTCCCCCCAGCGGTGAGCCTCAATAGTTCTGCCCCTTTCTTAATAATTAACCCTTCAATATTGTAATTTGGTCGAGTTAAAACCCCGAGTAACTTCTTCCCCATTTGGAATAGTCATTAGAATCATCCCTTTTCGCGTGTACGAATCGTGCCTGGCCTTACCCTGTCCCCTTAAAAAATTTCATTGAAAGGCAAGAAGAAAGTTGTCAAATCAGCGTATTGAGTAATAGAGAATATATTGCGAGAATTATACAGAATTCCCCCTAGTTTTCAGAGAAATCATTTAATCCCTTCCCCTTTTCAGGAACTAATTGAATTAAATTAATTCTTATAATTGAAGAAAATAAACTCCCGATAACAATTTGTAGCTCCGATTTTGTCTTACCTTCTTTTCCATTATTTGTTATTACATTGTCATTGTTGCTCAGTATTGTTGAATATTTTCCGGGAGTTGTGCAAGGAGGCGGAGGAACTTAATTTCGAAGCGAAATAATATCTGAGAAATGCGAAGGAGTTTTATCGTTGTTTTCCACGTATGAAAAAATTCAATAGAAAACCTGGCGAATTCGATAGAAAATTCTATTGGAATTTTATAGGAATTCTATGGCTTATATAGCTTTATGGCTTTACAACACTGTAAACGATACTTGAATATTCTTAAAGTAATGTTAAAGTAAATTCTTAGAGTAAATTTTTTTTCCATAATTGCATAATTTTAGGAATTTGTCATAGGGTGTTTTCATTCAGCCATTCGGTTATGGATATCGACTAAATACTTCATAATTAGTGGTATCATTGGTAAATACTGATGATACATCGATACACCACGTGTATCGGTGAAATATTCAAAATTGATCGGCACATTTGTTTTTATTTATTTATTTCGATATTTAAAACTGAAAATTTTCTCAACTGGGCTTGATGCAACCGGGCCCCCAGGCAGGACTCGTCGAGCTTCAACAACCGTCCCAAGCTTGGCTCAACCTCGACTTGCCGAGTGTTGGTAAACAAGTGTCTACTGGTAAGTAGACAAGTGGTAAATAGACAATTAAGACAAGTGTGGACCATTTTGTCAATGATTAAGCCAGTGTTCAGCCAATGGCGCATGTTGAGCCTTGGTTACCAGGGTCGGACCAAGCATGGACGAAGACTGTCCACCGACTCTTGGTCAACGAGGGGCTACCAACCTTGGCCCAAGCTTGGTGGCCAATGAGTAGCCAGAATCGACAGACGTTCATTGGCGGCCATTCCTGGTCCAAGCTCGATTAGCCCGTCTTCGGCCAAGCATCGGGTAGCACAGCCTTCATCCAACATTGGTCTGACTGTGGTAGCCAAGGTTCAAGCTCTACCACTGGTTGGCGACTGGCTCAGCCACTGGCTGAATTATGGTCCACGCTTGTCCACCAATGCCCGATGAGTCAGGGTTGAGCCAACCTTGAACCAGCTGTTGAGAAGAGGGGGAGGGAGACGTATTTGTAAAAACTCTCAGGGTTACAGGAAGGGGGAAAGGACAGAATAATAATAATAATAATAATAATAATAATAATAATAATAATAATAATAATAATAATAATAATGATAACAATAATAATAACAAAGATCGAATCTCCAAGTGTAATGAAAAATTGAAAATCTGGGTTCATCAAAAATACTCAGGTGGGGTGGAGAGGGGAGATATTTTTCAACACCCCTCGAATAACCAGGTGATTAATAAATAATGAAAACGAAATTAATTCCGATTATATTTAAAAACTCATTCAGCAAAGAATTAAATCGAGATAGAATTCATATATGGACGATTTGAGTCAACAGTAATAGAATTGCGCGGTAGACTAGTGGTGAAGGCGTAGGACTAGTGATGTTAGGATTGTGGGTTCGCAACCGGCTCAGGATGAATTATTTTAAATTAACAAATTAGGGATTTTCACTGAAAGATGCGTTAGGGGTGGGTGATTAGAAGATAATCACTCATAAAAATGATTGAATGAAAATTATTTTGGATTTTTTTAATCATTTAAATCAATATACATTAGTCACGGCTAACGACTGGCGACCGAGTCAGGCCCAGTCTTGGTGGCCAAGAATGGCCCAGCGTTATCATTTCGGTGCTCAACCAGCCTTGGGCCAGCCTTGGACGCCTGTGTTGGCCCGTGACTGGCNTAATCATTTAAATCAATATACATTAGTCACGGCTAACGACTGGCGACCGAGTCAGACCCAGTCTTGGTGGCCAAGAATGGCCCAGCGTTATCATTTCGGTGCTCAACCAGCATTGGGCCAGCCTTGGGCGCCTATGTTGGCCCGTGACTGGCCGAGGTTGGGCCATCCTTGGACCAAGCTTGGACCATTTGTTAATTCCTACCTGGGCCATAACGATTTATTAGGTGTGTGACTTAATTTTTACAGATTTTTCAGTAAATTTATTTAATATAAAAAAATAGAGAACAACAAACTTAATCTTGGAAATATTGTCCATCGTTTTCTATGACCTTGCGCCATCTCTCAGGTAATATTCGAATGCCCTCGCGAAAGAAACTTTGAGGCTTCGGCTTCGAGGCGATAAAGTCATCGACGAATTTACATCGCCACATCGTCCAGCGTTTTAAACTGTTGATCCACTAAGGCGTGCTTCATGAACCGGAACAAGTGATAGTCGGATGGGGCCAAGTCTGATGAATATGCCGCGTGCGGGAGAACTTCCCATCCCAAGTTTAAGAGGGTCTTGTGAGTCGCGCGAGCAACGTGAGGTCGAGCATTGTCATGCAGCAGTATGACTTGCCTGCTTCCTTGCCCAGTAAATGGCCTTTTCCGATCAGGTTCTTCGCTCAGTTGGTCAATTCTCGGCTGTAGCGTTCCGCAGTCACCGTCTGACCTGTTTCCAGGAATTCGTAATAAAGCACACCCTTCATGTCCCACCAGATACACAGGAGAATCTTCTTTAAGTGGATGTTTTGTTTCGGCGTCGATGTACTGGATTGTCCGGGATCTACCCACGACTTTTTACGTTTGGGGTTCTCGTAAAAAATATACTTCTCATCACCCGTCACAATTCTCCACAAGAAGTCCTTTTCTTGATACCGGGACGTGTTCGTACGTTGACCTAGGTTATGTTCGATCAACACATATGGGACCCACCTTTCCAGTTTTTGGATTTTTCCCATTTGACGCTTAGAAACAGCTGTTCGGGTGACTCCTAACTGAGCTGCAAGCTCTTGTTATGTTTGCGTTGAGTTTTCATCCAGTAGAGCTTGCAATTCCGCATCTGTAAACTTTCGAAGCTGTCCAGGACGCGGCTGGTTACTCAGATCGAAATCACCACTTCTAAAACGTTTGTACCAATAATTACACGTTTCATAGGATACAACGTCGGCACCAAGAATACTACACATTGATTCCCATGCTTCAGAAGCATTTTTTCCTTGTTGGAATTTGTATAAAATCCAGTGCCGAATGTGCTGTTGATCAGTTGCCATCGTAAAGTCTGCTGTTCTGAAAGGTTATGTAACTTACATAGACTTGTCGTTCCGTGTTCTGAAACCTTTTGTCCGATCCTTTCAAAACCACAAAAGACCGCAAATATATTTCTATTTTAAATATAATTTTAAGCTCGAAGAAAAAATCTGTAAAAATTAAGTCACACACTTAATATTAATAATAATAAATCATTCATTTAATATAAAAAGCACTTCAAATAGAGATAAATTTTCAATCCAAATAAAAACTGCATTTCGTGCTATTTAAATAAACTTACTTATTTGATTTAAAAAAATCCGTTCTCTGGGTGCTGATGATGAGTTCACACATGAAAAAATACAATAGAAAAACCTATCGAATTCGTTGGAAAATTCTATTGAATTTCTATTAAACTTTCTATTAGTTTTTGGCTGATTCTATTGACATGTTTAATATAAAACATTCAATAGAAGAAGTCAACAGAATTCTATTTTTCTATATAATTTATTCTTTTCATATATTTTCTATAGAATTTGCTGGACTAAAATTTCTCAAGTTTTTTTCATTCTATTTTTCTGTTCTTCTCATGAAAATCAAACGAAAAAACTTAGAAAATTTGAGCCGAGAAAATTCTATAGAANTGGAGGTTGAATGGGAGACAAGGGGAAAGAATCATGGGGGCTGAGAGTTCGAATCCAAGGGGCCAAACGGTCTAGAGATTGAACAAAAGGTTGGAAGGCTGAATCATGAGTCCTAGGGTCTAGGGAGGAAGCTGTGATGTCGAATCAAGGAGCCCAACGGTCTTGAGAAGAGGCTGAAAGNTAAATTTTTTTATCCGTGTTTTCAATAAAATTCA